TTTTTTTTTTTTTTTTTTTTTTTTTTGAATAAATTACTGACACGGGGAATTAATACATTGTTAATATGTCAACTTAATCCCTTTTCTGGTCAAACACTCGACACAAAAAGAACACATAAAATTGGCTTCCATAATTCTTCTTTCGCACGCTGCTTTAAACAAGGTGTCATTGTGCAGTAGTGTTTTATAAATGCTAATCCATTTTCATAGAATTTTGTACATTTCCTCGGTTTTTCAACATAATTAAAGTTTAAGTTTGGGGATTAAACGGAAAGATGATTTTCTTGTTGAACAAATATGCATTAACTTGGTTTTTTTTAAAAAAAAAGAACTTACCTCACCAATATTGTAAAGTTATATGCAAATGTAGATTGATGCTTAAGTAAAATTGTTTAGCTCCCCAAAAAATGGTAAAAAAAAAGATACTCTTTTTTCATCAGTTATCCCAAATTATTAATAATAAGGGTTTTAATCTATAATTTGTGTATTTAACCGTTTTTTCTTTGTGTAAAATTTTAAATAAAATGGCATTTTGAAACATGCTGGTTTATTTAGAACTCCCAATTTTTTAAACAACTTTAGTTAGTAATATTACGTATACTATAGTGTTAAATATCAGTAAGGGATTGTTGTTTTACAAAAAAAAAAAAATAATAATAATAATAAAAAAATAATTTTTTTTTTTCATTTTCTTGTTTCCATAAAAATAAACCATTAACTTACCGCAGCTAAAATTTATAAGTTGTGTAAATTTAAAATCCCACGGTATTCTCGTATAACGCGATACAAAAAATGTCGCCGCCTTTAACTGTGCCACGACTTCTGTGTAAAGAAATGAACATTTTTTTTTTCCCTATTTTTTTTTTTCTTTGGCGTCCTTTATGCTATACTATAACAGTAAATTATATGTGGGAAACAACAAAAGCACATAATCAATCATATTGCATACTTGTACACAATCCCCATTTTTCGCTAACACTAACCCATCTTTATCATTATCGATGAAGTCGATAAAAAAAAATTTCGGTATGCAAAGGAATGCTGAATCTTGTATAGAGTTAATTTTTTACGGGAAAATTTTAAGTTGTCGTACACGTGGAACAATGCAATATGTGAGCCTATATATAGCTTAATGTAATGATCATATACAGAGAATAAGTAACTTTGGACCCGGTACTGACTCAGTATTAAAATAAATATAATAATATATATATATATATTAAATCATGTTACAGTATAACATGTTATTATACTAAATTGAGTTAAACTTAACCATATATAAAGTATAATAATTTTTATAATCAACCTATTTCTTCAAAGTTGATTTTTTCGTATACATTTTTTGTTTTTCAGTTGTGTAAGTGTGATTTACACTTTATTGCAGTATATGCTGTGCATCAAGAGTATTATAAAAGAATTTTTTTATATATATAATAAATATATAAATCTTTCAAATATAGAGAGATTTTTAATAATAATTGTTAAAGGAAACGGTTTATTACTTAGTTGATAAATTAAATTTAATATTGGGTTTAATATCATGTTGTAAATATCCCCACAAAAGGTTACGATCCATTCCTGACGATTTTTTATTTATACATCTCTATTTTAAATGTCAAATACACAAACTCCACATATTTACCATGTTACACGACTTAGTCATAATCTTCAAATGTGCAAATGTGACTCATAATAAATTAATTAAAATACTAATGTATTTTTATATATTTTATAAAAATATAAAAAAAAAAAACTCCCGCCCGTTCTTTTGCATAATATTTTAGTATTTTGTTGTGATTTCAGGATTTTCTCCTCGCTTATCCGAATTTGTATTTGTTGTCATACAGGTTTCTATCAAATAGAACTTTAAAATAAAATAAAAATAATATAAATTAAAAAAATATAAATATCCAATTTTTTTTTATTAATTATCTTCTTGCAAGTTTTCTTCTCTCTTTTTTTTTTTACGTTTTTTGATAGGGATAAAACTTGCTATTAATCTTTTTTTTTTAAAAAAAAAAAAAATTTTTTTTTTTTTTTTTTTTTTTAATATTTTAAAAAAATTTTTTCTTTTACTCTCTTTTTTGAGAAAAAACTTAATTATCCTGAAAAATTCTTTCTCTTATTTCTTTTTTCAGTATATTTATCAATATCATTATTCTCTTTTAACTTCCATTATTATTTTACAATCATTTTCATTTATTAACTTTATCTTTTTCCTTGTTACTGTTTAGTGTATCAATTTTTCTTTTGTCATGACAACATCTGAACAACAACAACCAGTTGAAAATAACAGTGATTTTGCTCCACCATCAACTTTAGAAAGTCGAGCTAGAGCTTTCAGAGAATTCCGCACTCGTGTGGCTCTCTTTAATGGTTTATTAACTACTGACCCAAAAGAACGTGCAAATGCATCTGATAGAATAACTCAATTATTAAAGAATTTGGCAAAAGAATCTTATCCATCTGAAACAGCTGGAACTGTAATATCAGCATCTGGTGACAGGGAAAATGTATCTGGTGTGTCTTCTCCACTCAATAATGTGTTGGTCACTCCACTTTCATCATTATCTCCTTTTAATTCTCCGTTGTTCACTGATGGATCGGGTTCGGCATCTGCTTCTTCTTATGCTCCTTCTCCGAATATTCATCATTCACATGCAAATGAAGGTGTTGACAGTGAAAATTTTGGTTATGTAAATCAAATGGAATTTCAACGGAACGGGTTTCCGGATGGAGCCAGTGATCATTCTCGAAGAAATTCCGCTGATGAAAATTCTCCTGATGATATAGAAAAATCTGAGGAAGAAAGGAAGGAATATCTTAGATTGCTTATTTTGGCAATGTTACGTATGTCTATCGATTGTCCCTTCTCCGATGTTAGAAATTCTTTTAATAGATGTTTAAAGAGACTTAGGGTAAGATTTTCATTCTTTTCATTCTAGAAATTTATTTATTTGCCTATCAAAAGTTTGGAACTTCGTTAAAAACGTTAGAAAAAAAAAAAAATAATAATAATTGATATTACTGCGCCACGATTCGTTGATTTATTATTAATAAAATGTTAATAAAAAAAAAAAGTAAGTTATCTAAAAAAATATTTATTTTCACATTTTCTTCTATCTTAAATTGAATTTGGTTTGTTTTGCTTTATTGTCAACTAGCAATTTACCTTTTTATCTTTAATATACCAAAAAAAAGTGAAACCTTATATCATTCAGTGTATACTACGGAAAAAAAAAAAGGCCCCAAAAAAAAGAAAAAAAAAATTGAAAAATGATAGAGGAAACAAATAAAAAAAAAATTTGAGAACAAGCAAGATTATCTCTAAAAGAAAGAAAGAAAAAGAAATTATAGGCAATCCTATATTAACTTGCAAATGTGAAATTGAAAATTTTCATACAAAATCATTTAGTAATAGAATGTAAATATTGTACACGTAATTTCATTTTTAAAGAAATTATTATATAATAATTACGGTACAAGTAAATAATAATGTTTTCAAAAGATTTATTTTAATTATAATTATTCAAAAAAATATAATAAAATTTTCGAAATAATACCTTTGTTAACTATTTTCTTTTCTCTTCTTTTCTTTTTTTGAAATCTTGTTCTTATTTTTTAATAGCAAATGAACGTTCCGGTACCATCACCAATCAATCCATCTCCATCTTTCTTTATCGCACCTCAAGACATAATAACACTTGAATGGCCAATAGAATATACGAATAGTACTCTTACAGAAAGTACTCCTCGTTCTATAACCCCTTCTGGATATTCTACATCTAGTTCATCCTCATCATCTAATTCATCATCATTTTCCGAAGAAATACCACGAGTAATTCAACAACCATTAACTCCAGCTACTCCTTTATATCCAACAAGTCCTCCTAGTTTACCAATAGGCAGACAGCCTGATGATTTAGTTAGAAAGTTGATGATTGATACTTTTATTAAATCAGCAAGATTAAGCCATTTTTATCGAATTTTGGCTTATTTTCCTAGTTTTATGGAAAGATATCAAGAATCTTATGATGTTATTATAAGAGATCCTAATAATGGGCCTGTACCTCTAAGTTGGAGATTTTATATTGGAATAATGGTAAGTTATATAATAAAATTATAAGGGAAAGTTTGTTTTTTTCATAAAAATTTATAATCCTTAAATTTATAATCCTTCACGATTTTCAGGCTGCGTCACAGTTTAAATGTCAATATATCGTTTCAATACTCACAAATGACTTTCTAATGTATGGAGGGAATATTGATTGGTTACAAGGTCTTCATCGTGTACCAGCAAAAATCCGTAATTTGGCTACACTAAATACTATATTAGCAAATCAACCATGGCGTCTTGGACCATCACATATTGGCGCATTGGTTAAACGTTCACAAAACCCACAGGAACAATGGTCGATTGCTGAGATTGTTCATGTTATTTTGATAATGAGCACTTTTCATAGTTTAAGCAGTTATGTATTGGGATGTGGAATTGTCCCAGAATATGATAGTGCCGGAGGTAATTGTCCTTTTACTCCTAATTCCCCTATTGAAGAATCTGGGAGTTCTATTGGAGTTTTGAATTCGGAAAATATTCCTGCGGAAGTTTTATCTGGATTAGGCGTTACATTAGAAGAACAGCCTGAAGAATCTGATACTGTAAGCACTACTACGGAATCAGTTATAGCTTCAGACCCTATTCCCATTCCAAGCCATACAATTCGGGAACGCAATGATTTAGAAATTAATCATACAAGTCAATTAATTAGACGATTAAATTTACGTAATAGAGAGGAAAGAGAGGAAAGAGAACAAATTAATTATGGATCAGTATCTAGTGATGGTTCTTATTCTTTTCCAAGAGTTCCTGGATTTGACAATGTTGATGAGGAGAGTGAGTATCTTACTTAGGGGGGGGGTTTTTTAAGTCATATTATTAGAGATTTCCTTAATAATTTTATTAACAATTAACTAATTTATAAACGATTATTCAAAAATAATTTTTAGCATTTACGGACGAAACAGATGTAGCAACATACTCATTTCCTCAAGAATTTTTCTCAAACGCGAGTACTCCTCGTACTTTATCATTTAATCCACCGCCCGCAGAAGATTTTTCAAAGTTTCTTGATCCAGATGTAGAGATGCATTATACAGACTTTTCTGTTAATAGTTCTGAATATAGCGTATTTAAATTACAAGATTATTGTTGGGAAGATCAGGGAGTAATAATGGTAAACAACTATTTGCCGGATATAGGCGAAGTATTAGATCGAGAATTTTCAGAAATTCGAGATTTTACTGATTACAGGTATTATATAATATATTATCATTTTTGTTGAGATTCTTTCATGCATGATTTAGATATTAACTTCTTTATATCAAATAATAGTTTATTCCATTCATACCGATCTGATTTGGATACAACTCCACTTCGACAAGCAATTTGGTACTATGTCCAGCGATTATTCGGATTATACAAGGATGATTATGAATATCGCGACATTAATACATTTCTTAATAAAAAGATTAAAGCTTTTCTCAAGAAGGTTGGTCAAAGGTTATCTTAAAAACTAAAATTTTATTCAGCATTTTATTTACTCTCTTATTCTCTATTAGGTTTGCTGCACACCTGAAGAGATTAGATATAACGATTGGAGGGGTGTAGGATTTCGTTTACGCGAAGAAGAAAAATGTCATGTAAATTTGATTGCTGTCGAAGCACGTAAACAAGCAGAACTAGTTTATGGATTATCATGTGTTATGAAATGGGAAAAAGGGAAAGAATGATATGGATGGGGTCATTGATTCATCCCATCTGTTAATGAATGGATAAAATTCAGAAATAGAAAAAAAAAACGTAACATTTTTTTAGATCTGTGGATATTTTTTTAGATAGAAAAAAAAAACTATTGAAATTTAAAATAAAATCAATTTATAAGTTTTTTTCGTGTTTTTTTTTGATATATTGTGTTTTTGATTTGAAAAAATCATTCACGGTATATCAAATTTAAATAAATTAAGTAAGTTTCATTTGATTTTAATTAAAATGAAAAAAAATTTACTAATTTTAAAAAAGTTCATTTTTCTTCTCTTTTTGCATTTTTTTTAAAAAAAGTCAAGTATGCTTTTAGTTTGCCTGGAGATAAAGGAATAGGAAGGGCCCTTGCGTTTTGGAAATTAAAATGACCTTTTTTTTGAAGGTTATTTTTTTGTCACTTATAATTTTGGCCGCCCGGCTTTATGTTGATCCAAAATTTTTGAACTTTTATTTAGCGGTTGTTTTTGTTGTGAGTAAGTAATTAAATATTCTTTTTCAAATTTCGACTCAATGGTTTATTATCATTAATATTTGTGTATGTTTTTATATCATTTTTCTTGATGTACTTTAGTGTGATACTTTCTTGTTTTTCGATGTAAGTATAATTATTTTTTATTATAGGAATACCTTGCGCTCAAGAAGTCAAAAGCTTTTTTTATAAGAAGCTTCCTTCCAAGTGTTTTATTATTCGATTATTCATAATTTGTTTTTAATTATAATGCATATAAACAAGCCAAGAAATCTCAAGAAAATAAAGGGAACTACAAAAAGGGGAAGGCCTGGTTTTTGTCATTTTTGACCCATGAAATCTTGGTAAACAAAATATTATTAACAACGAATGGTTCAGCTTACTGTAAATAGGATCAAAATTCAATCAATAAAGATATAAAAGATGATGCGAAATGGGGTTCTTCTTTTACCAATTTATTTGATAATAACTCTCTTCTACGTGATTAAGATCTTGAATAGTTTCTTTAAGCGATGCTACCGCAAGAACATAATACATAATATACTGTATTTATCTATTAAATATATATTACATGCATATATTTTTGAAAATGATATCTTGGACATATCAAATCGGATGAACAAAAAGGATTCAATGTATGGTAAAAAATCAAATAATAATTTAAAACGTGTTTAATAGGTAGGTGTAAACCATCAACTTTGGGAAAAAAAAGACTTGATTAATCAATAGGTCTTGATAATGTTACCTTGATTGTGACAGTCTTTCAAAAAATAATTTGATTTGATTTATATTTTATGGTAGAAAACGCTAAATTCGTCCATACTAAGAATAGTTCGCCACCTAACCAGGAAATAGCGTAAAATTCTCTCAAATTATTTAAAAGTAGAATAAGTAAAATGAAATTCCCAATTAAATTAAGTATATTTGAATCCTATTCAATGATGTCGGTAAAATAATAAAATGACTTGACTTTAAAGTTCTGAATCGAATCTCGTAAATCACTATGAAAGATCCCATCAAGTGGACTGCCTACGCTACTGTTAAAAGAAATTATCACAACCCGCTCACAGATTACAGTAACTCTACAATTCAGCCTTCATTTCCTGTGAACCAGCTCCAGCTTTATATATAATTTCGCCGACTTTTTCACTATAAGTACCTCCATCTTCAAGAGTCCACCAACTCTTGGTATGATTCCTCTATTAGCACTTTATGATCCATATATATGTTGAAACGTGTAAAATGATGATGAGCAAATACTAGTAACAACTTTAGAACTTTAGAGCAGTGATAAAAAATTTAGATAAAAAATCTATTGCTAATAAAAATTCTCTTAATTGAGTTTTTTTAGATACAGTATTCACAACACAATTTTTAAATTAAACTTCTGAATTAGGGATTACTGGAAAAGCGCTAAATATCTAAAATTATTTATTTTATTTGTATAAAAAGGCATCTTTATCTTATGAAACAACATACTTTACAAAAAAAAACACTTTTTAACCATACTATTGTTTTATTCGTATGAATAGAATTTTTTTTTAACAAAATGATATTTTATCTGTAACTTTTAGTTTTTATAATATTGAGTGTTACGGGGTTTTCAAGTCTGTTTAAAATTTTGAAATTATTATATTTTGATGTTGTTGTTTCTTTAGATAAAATACTTTGTTGTTCTAGAGAGCGAAAAAATCCATTTTTTACTGGTTGCAATGATATACTGAATACCATTTTCTTCAAATAATATCTAAATTTTGAATTTTGAATTTCAAAGCTACTGATTAAGTACTAAATCATGTATCTATTAATCATATTGGTTACTTGTCTAGTTGTGGTGCGTTTTTTTTTTGTGCACTTGCTCAGAGATAGGAGGATCTAAGGAGCTCAGGAGTCAGGACTACCCGCAAGGATGCGCCCCATGCTCTTACACCAAACCTACTATAACCCAGGAGGGTAACATTATACCAACCACAGACCCGAGGAAGTCCCCTTTTGAGTGACCACACAAGGTTAAATTAGGCTTTTATATTTGAAAACCCCACCTAGCTGTAATGAGGTTGTGGTGCATTTTTTCGTTTCGTACGTCTTTTGTCAATTTAAATTCTAAATGCCGGCCCAATGCAATAATGACGGCAAATTTTGTGACCTTGATAAGTTCTCCTTAACGTACAGTGGGGTGTACGATATTAAGGTACGAACTGGCCCAAGTTTAGGAGTTATGCACTTGCACGTGATAACGTTAATGTTAACTCCGGCCAGTTCGTACGTTAATATCGTATATATACTGAACATGGGTCCAAGCCATTACGACACATTACACCAGTTCGGCATTACACCTCTTTTCACGAAGCATCATCTATAAAATTTACCCGTTATTGAAATTTGATTCCATAATCATTACACATGATTTTTCGCTTGCATTTTATTATTATTATTATTATTATTATTATTATTATTATTATTATTATTATTTAAAGAAATACATTACTTTTCATAACGCAAACTAGTTAATACTATCTATATTATGTTTTTTGATACATTATCTATAGCTGTGATATACAATAATATAAAAATAAATTTATTTTTTTCCAAATATTATATTTCAGTAGAATACTCATAAATAACCATTTTGTTGTTACGATTACTCCACCATCCTGCGATTAAATTAATTTTTGTAAATAAATGATCGTGATAAAAATGTGCAACATTAAGATTAGTTTGTAATTGAGAACGGGATGGCCAGTGAGGTTGTTCCACATAATTATCTTCACATGTGAAATGAACTATCCAAGTTTCAGTCGCAGAGAATAGTCTTGCATAATCAAGAGCCCGTTGAAAAGGTTCATCAAGATCGTTAGTATCTGCTGTCGCCAAAAGCTCGAGAACGATTTTTTCGTCAAAAGGCGTATCAATTACTATATCACTATATCTATGTTTTTTGTCGCCATTAGATATAAGGTGCCATTGGCCAGTGACTTCAAAGTTTGCTACGCCAAGCCAATTTCGTAAGATTCGATATAGCTCTGCGTCGTAAACGCTTTCTCTAGGAACGTGTTGGTTTCGCTTACCATTGACCCGCACTTTAGCAGTCTTGAATGAACGGAAGCTCGCAAGACTAATGATATCCTTGTCAAATGATTTGACAGCAAACTTTAAGGTAAATAAAGTGTCCAGATATTGAGAATCTTTATAGAAAGGGATCTCTTCCCTTGGACGAGATGGAAATACATTAGGGATTACACGCTGAACGATTAGCCAGCGCACCAAGGGGAGAAGAAAGTTTGAAAAATCCAGCATGTTCTCCGGGTACCAGAACACCTTCATAAGCTAGGTATTCTGCACTATTTATGTCAGTAGTGACGTTAATTTCATGTCCGAAATCTACTAAAAAATGATTCCGAAAAAAATTCACTGCATTCTTAGCTTCGGGATTCAGGAGAGTTCGGACCAAATTTCGGAATGTTACGTAATCAACAATCGCATTCATTAAAAAACTGACTTTGTAACGTTCCCACGTTTTATAGTTTAAGATTTGTTCATTTAGTTCTCTGAGCAGGTTGTCTTCAATTGCACGCCCACAAATACAAACAAGGCCTGCATGCCTATAATATAATCAGTTATTAGTTGGTAAAAAAGATATTTTATCTGGCCATTTTCACATACCCATTAGTCTGTTCAAAGATGTCCTCGATGATCCCCGATTCAAATTTCATTTTATTTTCCTCTTCGAACTCTCTGAACAACACTCGTACTTGCTCCAGATCAAAATTTGGATTACGTACCGAGTCCCTAATATTGAAGGGTGAAGTTGGCTGTGTGCTTGAATCGAGATGCAGGATGCTGAATGTACCAATTACGACGATAGCTTGAATAACATAGGAATCAATATTATTCCTGATAGCGCGAAGAATTCCCGGGAAATCGGTGCGAAGACGTTCATCCATTTTGTATATTCTATCGAATTCATCAAAAAAAAGAATAATACGAGCATCAGGATTCTTTTCTTTTTCTTTCCAGCCTGTTATGCTAAAATAACGAAGGAAATCTTCAGCAGTTTTTATATCTGTGCAGGATTCCAAGTATTCACTAGAGCGTTTATAAATAGAGATATTTGTGCCGAGTGAATTCCAGAAGCCTCCGGCATAATCGATAATTTGCTCGAAAGATAAGCTAAGAGAGGACGGCAAGTTAGAAAGTGTACAGAGCAGTTATCCAGCAACAAGAACTGAACTTACTAGTTGCACACATAACTTGACTCTTCCAATACTGATATTGCTCTCATCACGCGCGTGGACTTTCCAGACGCCCGTGTTCCATATAACATTATGAAAGAATATTCCTCGATTTTCCTAAATAGTAAATCCTGTTGTTCTTGTCCTGCTGGATCCACAAAATAATGGGAAGACCAGTCAGTTTCTCGTAATGTGCTGTTGACTTTCCATGTCTTCTTCAATGCTTCCGAAGTTTTCAGTCTTTTTCTATTGGGCTCTAATGGTTGGTGAGCTGAAACGACACGATAACGCGAATGTGTTTTTTTTGGGCGGGTAAGAAGCAGGAGAGAAAAGCACAAGAATAAGTAAGTATTCGGTATTATTGGCGAATATGACACGGTGTGAGTGAGAATGAAGTTCGCTCACCTCCTTGAATCTCTTTAATCAACCTTTCGATTTTTTTTGCTGGCCCACCTGGTACACCCCACCTTTCAAAATCCACAGCAGCTAACTCAAGAAAAGAATCACCATCAACTTTTTGAGTATCAGTGATAGTATCTATGTGAACATCAATATCCTTTAGCCTCGCTTTCAAAAATTCGTTAAGTCGTCCAGTACTCCATCCTTTCACCACTTCAATAGTTAGATCAGATACAGCACCAGTTGAGGAACCTGCAACGTTAGACATGCTTGATGTGAAAAAGAGTAGCACGAATAGATGAAATTAGAAAAAAAGAATTTTTTCGAGAAATTGTACTCATCAGTTGATCACTGGTGAATAGAATATAAACACTGAGATAAATATAATCTTGTCATACTTTCACATGATCATAACTAACTGTGATTTCCACAGCGTACCCTACAAAAATGTCACAATATAAAAACACGTGACTGTTTTTTGTCACATTCGTCACACCCTTCCTTGTTTCCATTTGGTAATCACAGTTACTCTGTTAACTGCGCCCGGGGTGCAAAAAATTTTCAGGCAAAATTATAATTTTTTCAGATTAATTTTTAATTTTTAATTCAGGCTAAAGTAAAATTATATTACACTAAAATTTTATTTCAATTAAACAAAGTTTTATTGTTTTTTAATTAATAATAAAAAAGATTACAAAAAAAATATATAACAATTATTTTAGCTATACTATAAATAATTAGAATTATATGTATCTATTATCTATAAATAATGTGTTTGCATTAAAAAGAATGCTTAGATTACCTTGATGTGTATTACTTCCAAATTCTTTTGATTTAGAGTTTTAGGATAATTGGAAAATTCTTTTTCATTCATATTTATCAAGTTAAACGTATTGTGTAGTGGCAATCAGATGACAAATAATAAGGGGTGACAAATATGATTAAAAAACGCGTTTTTTCTGTCATGTGATCATGTGACAATTAAACATCACGTATCTAAATTTGAAAAGTATGTAATACTATTTTCATTGAACAGAAATTTGGCAAAATAAATATTGTCACGCATTATGCATCATTTGAACATTTATTATATCGCACTTTACCGCCCAGCTGCGCTAATTTGAATTCAAGGATTTAAATAAAAATTGCCACGTTTGTTACAAATTACCAAAAAGAAAAGCAAGTTGGTCACTTGGATACTGATCTGTTAATGTATTTTCTTTTAATATCTCTAAGTTTTTTTACATATATAGTTAACGATATTTAAATTAGTTTATCTACTTAAAAACGCTCTAAAAAAACAACGTTTTAATGTGTGATTCAAAATTACAATTAATTATTGATGATAACATTTTATTATGGATAAAAAATAAATGATTTAGACAATAATTCAATAATTTTACTCCGTATCCCATTCATCATCGTCGTCAGCATCTGTGGATCAATAGAAAATTAGCAATTAATCAATATTTATCAAAAAAAAAAAATTCATTGTATCTCGTATAACTTACCGGATTCATCACTTCCCATATCTTTATTGAGTTTCTTTAACGCATCAGCTAAAGTTTTTGCCAAATTAGTGTCATTTCCGCTTGGACTTGAAGGTTCTTCTGTGAAAGTTGATTGACGAACAGGTTCACCAACCTAATAGGAAATATATTAGTCATAATGGGTTATTTTTTAAAAATTACCTAACAAAATAAGTGTCACATTTTACTTACAGTTTTCAAACCACCACCACTAAATCCACCCCTACTACGAATAGCTTCCATTAAGTTAACCCTAGAATCTGGTTGAGGAGCTTCACGTGAAAGAGTTGTTGTTGGTGGCTGTGGTGGTGGTGGTGGTGGTCCTCCTGCCGGAGGAGGAGGAGGAGGCGGTGGTGGTCCTCCTGTTGGAGGAGGAGGTGGTGGAGGCGGTGGTGGAGGTCCTCCTGTTGGAGGAGGAGGTGGGGGAGGCGGTACCCCCCCGGTTGAAGGTGGTGCAGGTTGAGGAGCTACACGAGTTGGTGGAAGCGGTGGAGGCACCGGACTTGAATTAGTTACTCTCGCAGGTGGAATTGGTGGGGGAGTATTGTTAAAAGTAGGCGGACGAACAGGAGGTGGAGGTGGAGGTACAGTTACAGGTTGTTGAGGAGTGGAACGTGAGGGAATAGTAGGTGGAATAGGTGGAGGTGAAGGAGCACTAGTTGGAGGAGGTGGAGGTGGAGGTGGATGTGGAGTAGGAGTAGGAGATATTTTAGGCGAAAAAGATGGTGAAGCTGGTGGAGAAACATAATTAACTTTCGCAGGAGATGGGGGCTGAAGTGAATCACGAATTGGAGTAGTAGGCCCTGTAACTGGTCTACGAGCAGGCGGTGGTGGTGGCGATTTCTTTTTAGGAGGTGGTGGTGCAGCACGTCTTGTTGGTTGCGGCGGGGGTCCTTTCTTAGCTTGTTTACGAGTTTCTTTCTTATTATTTGTATTATTTGTTTCAAGAAATTTATTAATGAAATCAAAGTTTTGTGCTATGTCTTCCTGTAAGTAATAATGAATCAAATCAAATTAATTTAAATCTAAGTATTATAATAACCAAAACTATTACCATAAAATAACATTAACCTTGCTAACACCATATTCTCCTAATTGATCAATCACGTTTTTCCATTCAGGATTGATGTTTTGAACCTATATAATAATAATAATAATATACAAAAAGAATTAAACTCTTATTATTTAATTTTACCAAAAAACTTACATATACTTACATCAAACCCTTTCTGTTCATCCCATCCAATGTGTCCGAGATGTCTAATTATGTAAAAATTTTAAAGGTTAATATTTTTATTTCCAAATATGCGTATACATGTTTACGTATATATATATAATGTTATTATAGATCAAAGTTCTTGCCTAAATTCTGTAGGTGCCCCGATATCTGATTTATCGATTTTAGGTTTCTTTTTCTTCTTTTTTCCACCAAAGAATCCACCACCATTTTTATTTTCTTTTTGAGATTTCTTGGCTGTATATAAAATAATCGAAATAAATTTTTATGAATAATTGGTTAATAAAGATAAAATTATATAATAACATACATTTTGAAGGAAGTTTTTCTCTATTAATAACTCTTTTGTAAAAGCTTTTGGCTTCTTGTTCATTAGCGAAAGAAAAAGCGGCAAGAGATTCCTATATTAAAAAAAGAATGGAATTAATACAATTAATTTTATCACTGAAAGACCAAAAATTATTGCACCTACATCGAGAGCAAAAGTATGAAAAAATGGAGTTTCCTCAGTATATTGGAAATCTTTATAGAGTTCTTGTTCCCATATTATACCACGTTCTCCCTAAATCAAATAGAATGACAAAATGTTAAAATAACGATTGAGAACGAGAAACTCTGAATAATAAAAACAAACTTACAAGTAAGTCAACGACTTTGAAAAAAAACGAATTCTTTGAATTATCCCTAACAAAACCAACTGCTCCCATAATTTTAGTATATGTCCAAGCATTTGGATCAGGATACGCAACATAAAGTCGGGCAACTGTCGCGGTCAAAATTTTCTATAAATGACGAAAATATGTTTGAATTGATAGTAACAAACTTCAAAAAAAGAAGAAAAAAAGTCTTACATCTCCGGACAGGGCCTTCTTTATCATTGCCTTATCCTCAGGTTTCTGGAGGGTAACTGAAGGCATAATGGTTTTCGTCGGTAAAATATTTTTTTAGTTGATATTATCGGTTGTAAAATGAATCAAACAACTATAAATACTTTTGGTGATGTAACACTGTTACGTTACATAGCTGCAAACCGGGTCTTGGCTGCGGCAAAGCCAATTTGCTTGGCTACTGCGATACACCTATTTTAGACCATGTATTACACAAGTTTGAAAATTACGGCAACTTCTACGAATTACGGCACAACACTAGCTACAATTTATAAGTCAATTTATTAATATTAATGGTAGGGCATCAAATTACATTTTCAGAATATTTGGCGGGAAATTGGTTGACATATAATGAAAATTTCGGAATACTTCGGAAGTTATAGAAGCCTTATTTTACAAAATAAAGTTCTTATATTTTTTTGACAATAAAAAAAAATAGGATTAGCTAAGATTGTACAATTTTCACTATGTTTATAAGGCATTTACAGAAAATTAACTATTCAAGAAAATAAAAGGAAATTTCCCAATACAACAACATTATTCAAGATATTGACGCGGAATTTTGGTTCTCTCGTTACAATCTCCTATATTAGAAAATTTGCATTTTTTTCGTTCTTCCATGATAGTAGTAATAGCGCGTTTTTCTGCAATTTGCTCAATCCCAGCATACCAAGTGTAGAGATGCAATCGTAAAAAAAAGACTTTTTATTCATCCCATCATCAGATTTATCTATTGCCACTTGAAGACCATCCAGAACAATAATTACGTTCAGATCAGAGAACTTTTGATCGCAATGTTTGGCAATTCTACGTAATACCTCTGCTGCGTTACACTATATCGATCCTTAAAATCGTTCCGGCTGCTTCAAGCATCCGATTACTAATTGCACTAGAGCTATTAGTTTCTACCATTCGAAGTAGTTTAGTCTCATTTTCAAACGATAGATTAAATACAAGAGCAGACTCTAAACGATCTTGTAAGTCAGTATCATTTGTACATTTAATTAGCAATTTCGGCAATTCTTGTGCGAATGAAGTATTGCGGTATTTTTGTTTGTCAAGTCGCTTAGCCCCCACTGTTCGAAACGAATATGATTTCAACCTTAAGTATTTCTTTCAAAGCACCCGAGGCTTGAAGTCCCAAGAGTAACCACTACCCTCGAGGTCTAATTTTTCAGGCAGAATATGTGACTAAATAATAAGATAGATGCGTAATTTTTCGGTCGTACGATTGACCTAATTTGACTAATGTGGCTTTTTGTGAAAAAAATTCCAGACTTGTCATCACGAGAATGGCACTTATTATTACACATCTTCCGTAGTAATAAATAACAGGAATAAGGGTCAATTTTATTTTACCAATATAAAAGTACTAGCTTTATAGTAGATGAAGCACAAATTTTTATTTTTTGAATCTAAAGGTAAATTTATTGATAAAATTAATTAATACTTAAAATCTCAAAAATTCCTATTAAAATTATTTCAACACCAAAATGAAACAAAATATTCCAAACAATTTGATATAAATACTTAGGTGAAAACACTGTCCAAATAAATAAGTGATTTCTTAAAATCATAACTCCAACAGATAATATAAATAATACGATAGAATGAAATAGTGATGTATATATAAAATAATCTAAAAATAATATTGTATTTAAAGATGATAAATCCTTAGCATTATTTTCTTGCATTGTTTTATCACTACCTTTATCGTCGACTTTTCTGATGTTATCATCATTATTTGTTTTTTTTGTTAATTTCCATCTCATTAGAATCTCTTTTCTTAAAATGACACTAGCAAAACACCACCAAATAGGTCCACTCCAATTCCCCCAAAAAGTTGTTAATCCAACTAATACTACGTTATAGTCATTAATACCGGTATATGAATGACTTATATCGATAGATGATAACGAATTAGAATTACCCAAAGAAAAGAATGATAAAAACTCAAATGATATAAGAAAAAAATTACATGATAAAGGTGTTAATAAAAAATTATCATCATTATAATATATAAATAAATAAAATTGTATAAAATATAATCCATATAATGGTACGTTATGTGGTCTTGATAATAATATAAATAAATATGTTATTAAACATAATATTATTTTTGGAAACTTTCTTATCTCTGAACCTATTAGAATAATATAACAACAAACTAAATTATTGCCAAACAAAAAAAAAAAAGAAATTTCAAAATTAAAAAAAGTATTTACCCTTTTCCAATTGGTTTTTTACAATTATACCAAGCTGACATAGTACAAGACTTACAATAAGTAGCACATAAATAAGTCTTGCAAGTGTTATAATTTGAGTTGTCCTAACAATAAAAGAAATCAATTCGAATAATTTAGGAAACAATTCTACGCCTCCATCTATTTCCAACTTATATTTAGTTACCGATATTGAGATAATTATTACTATCAGCTGTGTAAATCGTTGTAAAATAAATGACAACACAGAATTTCTACGTGAATTATTATTAATGTATAATTTGCGAATTTCTCTTAATGTAATTATAGTTAATGCAGAACTCGTTACAAAATATAATATCCACATTAATTTGATGTAAGATGTATTAAGATAAAATTTCAAATCGATTGTTCCAGCAAATTTTTGTCCTAAAGTGTACAATGAATTAATATAATTAATAATAAATAAGAGAAGAATTTTATAACTTACCAGTCTGATTCCATGCTCTAATTAATCGAACTAACACCATTTGGCACATAAAAGTACATGCCTGTTTTATAAACAATGTCCGATTTTTCAATCTAAAACTGGGTTTACAATAATTACAGTTATTAATAATTCGACAATAACTACCTATTCGGCTTTAAATTTACCTTAAAATGACAGAATAAATAAACATAGTCTGTATCCAATAATACCAGAATTGATGCTCTTCTTCAATATAACTACTTGCGAACAATGTGATGCAAAATGCGATAATTCCAATTATACTAAGAAACTCTAAATGACTTCGTTGACTTTTACTTCCATCTTGGTTATCAAATCGTTTATTCCACTGAATATACGTAACCAACATAATTTTAATATAATTAAATACAGAAAGTATCATAAAGAACAATCCTATGAACATTGAAGTAGTATCATAATCACTAAAGCTTGATGCTAGACCCGAACCAGAATCTGTAACAAACTAAAATCAAGAATATTGTCATTAAAAATATTCTAAAATTCTAAATGAAAATTAACGTAATACCTTATCATAAAATAACAAAGCATTATTGATATGGTTAATGTCATTGACTTCATTGAGTGATTTGTCGTGATAGTAATATGCCATAGAATATAAGCATTGTAATCGTGCTTGATCATCATTAAAATCGCAATCCATTACGCTTGTAACGCTTGTAACATTAGGACTACGGTCAAACGATGGCCATGATGTTTTTAATATCCCAGATAATTGATAAGCATTTAATTGCAATGCACGCAATTTATCCAAAGCTAGAGTAATATTTAAAAAATGCTAAATAAAAACGAATTAAAATGATTGAAAAGCCCCCAAAAAATTGAAGTAATTTACCATCAATATCGACCATCAGATCCAATAATAAGAGTCCCAAATTATTTTTTGGGATAGGAATTCCAAACAAGTAACTAATAGTTGGTACAAAGTCCACCTGATTTATAACTTTATAAAAACTCATTGAATGCTCGTCAAATGGCACACTAAAAGTTTCAGGAACTTGTTTCACGGAGTCGAATATAGAACTCATGAAGACAAATGCCTAGAAAACGATAAAAAAAACAATGAATTTATGATATACAAATTGGAGCCTCGTTTAGAGTAAAATTAAAGATGGTCAGTCGGTCTTTCGGTCCTGGACAGTCCTGCCGGTCTTTGGGGGAATGCACCCTTGAATTTTTGGGACGCAGCAAGTATGGCTAAAGACCAATAAATGTCAAAATTTGGCCTTTATACTTTTTTTTAAGACCAGCAACAAATATAGGTATTGGTAAAATAAAAACCTGCTTAGTTCTGAATTGGGTGATTAGATTGAGACCAAAATTTACCACTTTAAGGTCTTTAACCAGTTCTGTTGTGCCACTAAAAATTGGAAGCACACTTTTCCGAAAATTCTATAGACCATCAGGACCGACAAATAAAATACATATGGTAACCTTACAGTAGATATTTCGCCAATAGATGAGCCACCATGATTTCCTGCCTTTACAAGAAATTCATTTGCTGCTTCAATATTGAGAATGTGATAAAATTTCGAAATTGATATATCGCGCACACCTCATTCATTCCATGATCTCCACATAACACAAACAGTGTAGGCTTTACGTTAGGGTCTTCTCTAATTCTTTTCTTATCCTGTTCTAATATGATCTCGTATATTATTTTTACAACTTCATCCATCTCACGTTGTTTTGGTACCATCAAATTACTATATGGCCCAGTTGAGTGTCCGACATGGTCTAATCCAAGGTAATGAAATATCAGAACATCCCACCCAGGTTTTGATAATTGTGGAATTACGTTTCGAGTTACATTAAGATCAACTTCAACCGTGTCCTGATTAATTATAAATTAAGATGCATATATGTGACATATAAAAGATAAAATATCGAAGAAATACATACCGTAGCAAAGAATGAAGTAGTTCCATCCGTTTCATGAAATAATCCAGGAAAAAGTTTTATCCAAGTATCGTCACCAAAAAATGATATTGACTTATTATTAACATTTTTTAATTGTACTAGCCAATTATCTTGGTCCGCTAAAGAAGAAGAAGTATCAGACTCCGCTATATTAAGAATTGCATCCAAAAAATTCGGTACAGTTCCTAGGAATTAAATCGAAAATTAATATTTTATGCGGATCAAAAAAATATATAAATAATTATGTGTACCAGTTGTCAAAGCTTTAATTCGTGGTAAGGTAACAGTCGGAGCAGTCGCTATCGCTGTATAAGGAATTGCGCGTCGTTCTGCGACGAGACTAACGAATGATTAGAATTCATTATTATATCGCATATATTTAAATCACGAATTTCATTTATTTACCTTTGGACAAATTCCATTCCAGAATTTTTTCCAAACACGAAATCACTATTAATAATATTTCAATTATGAATATGAACTTGAATATATTTATATATTTAGCAAAAATTAAATGTGAGCAAACCTTCTTAACGCATCAATCAGCATGAAAACTAATCGATCAAATTTTGGCTCCAGAGGAGTTTTTTCTCCATTAGGTAATGGAGGTAATTCGTTTACTGTTGATAAACCTGATAAACTGGTTTTATACGGAAAAAATCCTTTTGCAAAGAAAAAAATGCCCAATAGTTGAAGTATTGAAATATTGAATAGAATTTGACACTTTTTTCGTGGAGAATACATCGTAAACTGTAATGTATAATCTAAAATCAATACTTTTTTTTACTAGATTTAGTAGCTCGTCGATCAATATAAATGTTTGTCGATTTGTACAACACAGATCGCGTATTTAAATCATTCTTACCACAATTACGCGCATAATCTCCAATTATTTATTTATCATTATATCCAAAGAGCCCCACCAATATGCCGTTTCAAGAACAAGAACTTCTTGAATAAAAATTACTAACTGGTTCTCTGATGCTTTATTTTAGTGAGATTATTTATTTGTTCTAGCTATTTGAATTTCGAATACGCGACGATTGACTATTACACAAGATCTCAAAATTTGATAACAGATCTGCAACATGCATAGATAGAAAAATCAATCATGTTTTGCTGTTAACAAGCTAATTAAGCTATTGAAATGCAGTCGGAACCAATTGGAAAATTACTTATTGCAAACCGTGGAGAGATCGCATGCAGAATTGTCAATACCTGCAAACGATTAGGAATATCAACGGTTGCTGTATACTCTGATAGGTATTGATTTCGTTATTTAATATTTAAAAAAGAAATTCTAAATACTTCGGATATTCGAATGAAATTTTTTTTTAAAAAAAAAGTGACCGGAATGCCCTTTTTGTAAAATTGGCAGATGAAGCAATTCACTTAGGACCTTCACCTCCAGTAGATTCATATTTACATGGAGATAAAATCATTAGGGCAGCCAAGAGTGTTGGAGCAGATGCTATTCATCCTGGTAATATTATTTCAACATATCTTTTCAATGCCTTGTTCACAATAAGCTATTTTTAATATCAACTTTTGTTTTTTGGCTTTTAGGTTATGGATTTTTATCGGAAAATGCTGAATTCGCAAAGTTAACATCTAATTCAGGAATTCGCTTTATTGGTCCTTCACCCGAATCGATATTAGCCATTGGCGACAAGGTAATACGAGTTTTATAAATTCTATTTGGCTTCTTTCTGTTTAATATTAACTAATAAAAGATGATGAAGTAGATTAGGGCTAAGAATTTGCTTGCTGAACATCTTCCATCTGTACCTCTTATACCCGGTTATAATGGGTTAGATCAAAGTATAGAAGTGTTAGTACAAGAAGCTATTATAATTGGTAACGTATTAATTAAATTTAGGAACTTATTTTAAGACCTAAAATCTTGCAATTTTCGATAATTGAGTAAGATCATTTTCATATGTAGGCTTTCCGGTATTATTAAAAGCCTCAGCTGGCGGAGGAGGCAAAGGTATGCGCGTTGTTCATGAGGAATCTAAGTAAGTTGTATGCGAAACAAAATTTTCTTGCAAATTTCTTATAAAATAATACTTTTTTCGTAATACTTTAATAGATTGCGAGAAGAATTAGAACATGCAAAATTGGAATCATTGAAATTATTCGGTTCAGATGAATTGTTAATAGAAAAATATTTTGTCTCGGTCCGGCATGTTGAGATACAAATAATTGGGGATAACTATGGGAATGTTTATCATTGTTTTGAGAGAGATTGTTCAATACAACGTCGTCATCAAAAAGTCATCGAGGTATGCGAAGTTATTTTTTTTTATTATTTGAATATATTATAATCTAAAATACTTTATTATAGGAAACACCTTCACCTTGTTTGGACCCTGTTCTGAGAGAAGAAATGACCACAACGGCTATACAAATTGGTAAGTTCCTTAAATATCAAGGAGCTGGCACAATAGAATTTATTTTGGTGAGTATTTGCATATTTGAAGTTAAACGATACTAGTGGTATGATTGTTACGATATAAGTTTAGATTATTAAGAATGTATGGATTCAAGGATTTGACTGTATTAAGATATTTAAATAAATTACTGATATGAATATTTAGGATGAAAGAGAAAAGAAATTTTATTTTCTTGAGATGAATACACGTTTGCAAGTTGAGCATCCTATTACAGAATTAGTAACAGGATTAGATTTAGTTGAATTACAAATATTAGTAGCACAAGGTATATATTTATCAGCATCTCTTTTTTTTAAAATTTAAATGTAAATATTCCTATATTCCTATTATTTTATTTTATAGGATTTGATTTATCCCTATCAAAACTGCCTACATTGAAACTAAACGTAAGATACATAAACATTATATTTAAAAAATTAGTTTCATATTGATTTTAAAAATATAATCTTTAGGGACATGCTATTGAATGCAGGCTTTATTCTGAAAATCCGAAAAATAATTTTCTTCCAAGTAAAGGTAAAATACGATATTGGAAACAATTAACGGTACCAAATATTCGTTATGACACAGGGATAGAAACAGGTTTTTAATTTAAAATAAATTCGTGGTTAAATAATTTATTTTGTGTATTGTTAACTTTTTCTACAATCTTTGTTTACAGGTTCCGAAATATCGATATATTATGATCCATTAATATCAAAAATATCAGTATGGTCACCAACAAGATCCCAATCTATACAAAAAATGATATTTACATTAAAAAATACAATTGTATTAGGACTGATTACAAATCAATCATTCTTGTTAAGTATAATGAAAAATTCTACTTTTATGAGTGGTGCTTATAATACATTATTTATAGAAAGAGAATTTCCTCAATTATCTCTTCAAAAAGAAAGCCTTTTACAAGATGAGAATGAATTAACCATCGTACCATTTTTATGGTTATGGTATCAAAGGGAGAGACAACGTACTACGTTACGTCATATTCCATCTGGGTGGCGCTATTTAAAGAATAAAAATCCTACTGACGGATATTATGTTAATGGAAATTTGATTGAATTAGAATATGAATATCTGAGAAAAAATGATGGGTCTTTTAATAATGATATGGATCACAAGTTTAGTGTTTGGGTTAAGTCATGGCCAAAAAGAAAAGATGTGATCCTGCATAATGTTATAATTAATGAGAGTGATGGTAAGTTATTTCACGATGGAATTTTTGATAACAATCAAAAAGATATTCAAAAGTTTTTTTTTTTGTCTAGAAAATATTTACGGATCATTGCGCTGTTCTATTGAGGGAATTCAACGCGTATATGAAATTGCAAATGGACCAAAAGGTACATATCCACAAGAAGTTTATGTTCATAGCCAAGAATTGGGAGAACAAATTAAATTTGTAAGAAAAGAAAGACTTAATACTACGGCTGAAACATCAGAAGATGACGGTAAGTTGTATCTCAACATTTTCTATTCTACTCACTAATTTACTAACTTTATTTCTCAATTTTGTTGTTAATATTAAGTTTCTCCGTATATATCACCTATGCCATGTAAAATATTGAAATTGTTAGTAAAGCCAAATACAAATGTTAAAAAAAATGATGTTTTATTAATAATGGAAGCCATGAAAATGGAAGTTAAACTATTTGCTAGACATGATGGAACTGCAAAATTTTTAGTTAAGGAAGGTGATGTTGTTGATGCTGGAACTATTTTGGTTAAAATCAATTAACATAAAACAATATTCAGTATAGAAGGAAATAAACAATTATTTATTAATTAACTTTTGTTGAATATATTCTACAATTGTTGCAACTTCTGCCATTGCACCAACACCGATATCTCCACATGCTAATTTTTTACTAATGGGAGAGATAATTTCATATTTTAATTGGTTTGACAAAATATCAAGATGTTTTTCGGTAAATGGATGTTCCCACATATATGTGTTCATTGCTGGACAAACTATAACAGGTCGTTTTATGTTCCATGCTCTTAGAATACATGTCTATAAGTATATATCAAGTTAGAAAAAAAGAAATTGTCAAAAAAGAGAATTATGCCAATTTTAATTACTCAACTATTAAATTGTCACATAATCCATTTGCAGTTTTTGCTAATGTATTTGCGTCAAGTGGCGCAATTACAAACATATCTGCCCAATCCCTATACTTTAGTAATATAGCGATTGATGTAAGATATTAATAAATAAAGAATTATATGTAAATAATCGTAATTACCTCAATGTGCAATACGGGATCTGATACTTTACTCCATGCCTAAGTTATCGTACCAAAAAAATTTACATTATTTAAATTTTAGATTTTAGGTTAAATTCATAAATCGGACATTAGATAATAATAACCTTCCATTCATCAGCATCAGTAGTAACTTGTACACCAAAATCCTTTGTTAAAGATTCTCTATCAAAAAAATGCAATGCTTTATCTGTTGATACTATTTTTATTTCAACATTTTGATTCTAATTTAATTGTATTTATTAAAAAGTTAATTTTTTTGTTACATCAGAAAAGAGTAAAAAAAATTGACGAGAAACCTGTAATAAGGATTGCACAAGTATAGGTATTTTTATACTTGCTACACTACCAGTTGCTCCAATCAATATTTTAATTTTACGTGACATAATATAAATCTTCAGTAAAAGCGAAAAATTTTTAAGATCTTTGATATTTGTGTTACAAAGCCCATCTATAAAAATGTTACACGTCCAACAAATCATGTCCCTAACCATTTTCATTCTCTTCTCTCCTCATATTATTTTTATAAAAGATGGAACGCTCTTATATTATGGTTAAGGTGAGAAAATAAAATCATTTATCGAAGTTCCATTTATCAGATAAAAAACTTTTGTCAAATTAATAAAAAAACAATAATTTTTTTTACTTATAGCCCGATGGTGTTGAACGTGGGTTAGTTGGTGAGATTATTAAACGGTTTGAACTAAAAGGTTATCAGCTTTTGGCCATTCAACTTTTTAAGGTGAGTATTTCTTCCTTTTCTTTCAACAGTTAACATGATTTACTAATCAATCATGATTATCTTCCAATAGCCAACGAGGGAACACTTGCAAGAACATTATAAAGATTTGAAAGAAAAACCATTTTTTCCGCCTCTCATCGAATGTATTGTATTTACCATTTTGATTAACAAAAAAAACATAGACTATCTCTTTAAATTGAACACATGATATTTATTTTTTTCTTTTTGATTTCCAGATATGTTATCAGGACCGGTAGTTGGTATGGTTTGGCAGGGAAGAGAAATGGTTAAAGTTGGTCGTCGTATGTTGGGCGAAACTAATCCATTGAATTCTAATCCTGGTACTATCCGTGGTGACTTCTGTATTGAAAGTAAGTAGTTATCATTATATTTGTCCGAATTTAAATCTGGTTTCCCCGATTTAATTCTCTAACTCATGTTTCTAACTTAAAGCTGGACGTAACCTTTGTCATGGGTTGGTATTATAAGAATTTTTTCTTTTCAATTTATAATCTGATTTTTTTTCTAACCCTTTTTGAACTTTAATCACAGATCTGACTCTGTTGAAAGTGCTGAAAGAGAAATAGCATTATGGTTCCCTTCAGGTGTTATACAGTGGGAACGTACTAAAATTCAAAAATTAATTTATGAATAAATAGTATTTTTATGTAAGAAAAGTGCAATGTTTTTTAAATAAAATAACAATAAATTTATCATCCAGTTGATGGATAATTTTTTTACTAAAAGAATGCACATAAATACACATTATATATAAATATACATTATATAAACAAATAAAAAAAGTCATTATTTTTTTTTCGTAAAAAATAATGATAAATAAGCTAAGCATAAAATAAAGTGAAAAACTAAAATCCAATCTCATCTCATGCACCATTATATATTAAAATAATAATCCAGGAAATACGAAATAAACCTAATATAATTCAAGGTAATTGCGTAAATTCATCAGGGTAATTTTATGGTCCATTAAATCCCAATATAGTTAATAGGTTTGATAATTAAATAAAATATAATGAACCAATTTAATATTATGAATTTGTTGTTTTTTGTTCTATTTTTCTATTCATCCAGGTCTTTTAAAAATCTTGTATAATGTTCTCGTACACATTCTCCACCTTTGCGAGGATCAAAGAGAAATTTATAACAACTTCCATCTGCACATATAACTAAAGAAATAGCAATATTTTCAATTATTTTTATAAGTATTCAGTAACACAGTGATTAACAAAAATTGCTAACTACTAACCAATAATGGTGTTAACTTCTTGACCGAATCCACAAATACATCGGCAATCCGCTATAACTTTAAAATGCGCAAAAGACCATTCTGACGAAAAATATTTTGGAAGTAAATCTTTCATAAACGAAAAACTATCGCAAATAAAAAATATCATAATTTAGTTCCAATTTAAAAAATCAAATATATTTTTTTTCCTTGCATTCTTACCTTGACTGACGATTTCCGCTTGGTGATGGTGATAACATTGGATTACTATAAAAAGAACTAGTTAAGATCGTGAAAAAGATAAGAGAAAAGAAAAGAAAAAGAAATAAGTCAGAATAGTGTATTATTATCCTACTCACTTGATTACTTTTTCTGCATAATATGATCCATTATTAGGTGAATGACTTGCACCATTCCCTAAAATGGCATCTAAATTAAAGATGTGTACTGTGCCTTTGTCCGAAGATACACAAAGACGCGTAGAACTTTGGTCAAACGCGATACTGAAAATTTAAAATTAAATGTCAGAAAAGGAATAGAATATATTGACAAAAATTTTCGGTTTCTTATTTGTACAAACCTATATATTTCCGCACGATCTACACCTCTTCGTAATTCATTTAATAATTTGCCAGATGAAGTATCAAAAACCCTTATAAGTGTACCCTAAATAAATATTAAATAAAATAATTAGATAGTCTGTAAAATCATTCGCATGATTTCGAAAAATAGCCAACCTTTTCACTGGCGCTAGCGCATTTACTTCCATCCGAGTTCACTGATAAACAACTTAATTTTCCAGAATGCGCAGGAATAATACTGACATTTGTCGTCATCACCGTTGTGCTCCCGCTTGAATTTATTGAGTTAGAATTTTTTATCTTTCCAGTGTTGGACATACTTGGTCGCCTATCCATATTTGGAAACTGGTGATCATTATGACTTGACGATGAAAAAGAATGTCTATGATGTGGAAATGAGGAAGTTGTTGATGATGAGTGTGTAGGAAGGGTGTTGCTATTATTACTTGTAACAGCCGTGCTTGCATGGAAGGTATTGAGGTCTACGATTTGAATATGACCCTTTTGTCGACCAGGAAACGCTAATATGGCATGATTTTGTGACGAAGAAAGAGCAACCAAACCTATCGCATATAAAGAAAAAGACGATAAATTTCTGAATAAATATCATAAAAGTGCTTAAACTTTATACTTACCTTTATCATTATCGATCGTCTCAAAGGTATGGAGTTTTAGAGGATTAGCACTGAAAACGTAAACGAAAACTTTGTTGGCAAGAACAACGACGATCCTAAACGAAAAAGTTATATAGAATAAGAAACATTATTACGAACTTTATAATTGATCGATCGAATAAAATAGTTTAATTCTTTACACTAACCTATCCCTCCTCAATTTGACATTCTTCACTTCACTTCGAAACTCCAACTCAACAATTCCTTTACTTTTCAAATCATCCCATATGATCACTTTGTTTGGTGGATATTTTGGGTTTTTCCCTCCGCCTACAAGCGCAAGATAGTTACAGCGAAATAACATTTCGACGATCGATATTCCACCGTCTTCGAAATCTATTAAACGCAAAAAAACAAAAATATTTATAGAATAAAAACGTAAATATATGCAGGATCTATAAGGATTCTATAGAGTTTGAAATGGTTATCATTTTAAAGTGTGAGATCCTACCTTTTCGCATTTTTTCTTTTAAAGGATCACAATTATAAATTCTGAACCCACTATCTAGCCCTGTTGCAAAACAACCAAAGTCTTGGTTAAAGCCAGCATAAAGTAAACCAGGGGCGTCGGCAGCAGAAGAGGAAGAGGAAGGTTTAGATAAATTCATTTTCTTTTGGAAGTAAAAAATTTAAACTAACGAATTAGAGGTACACGAGTTTTCGTGTGGTGTTAAGGATTACGTATTTTAATTTGAAAGAATTTATAAATTTTTTAGTTGCACAATCATTATACAGAATATCTGTATCATTTCCGATTGGTTTTCCGATCATCCGCAGCTCTTATAAATGATAAATTAATAATTATGTGCATTTTTTGCATGAATGCTTTGCATTAATCCAAGATTTACCAAATTTTTTAATTTTGATTTACGTAAACTTTAAAATTCTAAAAAAGGAAATAAATAATTAGAATTACTCTGATTACCGGATTCACAGATTTTTCACACAGTACCTAAAATGTCAAAGAATAAACGCAGCTATAAAAAACTTGGCTCACCGCCAAGTCAAAATTCCAAAAAAATAAAGCTTTCGCCTTCGAATCACGCACCAACTTGCGACGATTCCACTTGCACAGGCTGCGATGTGAGTGAAATAGAAATTGTTTTCACTACCGAAGACGGCCAAGGAGAAATTGAACTTTCCCCAGTTAAACTTCTTCATTTGGCTTTAGAAGAGTCCTCTAAAGAATCGTCACAAGAACACGGTGGTGGTGTCGCTAAACGTTTATTTGACATGGCGCTTGAGGGGTTTGACAAGCTGTTAAAAAAAGAGGAAAAAGAATTTGAGTCAAAGGAGGAAACTGTAAAAGACAAGGAAAAAGAAGAAGAAACGCGCCCAAAAGTTGCTACTAAGCAAACAAGATGTCAATATGCAACATGCTGTGTTGCTTTTGGCATTTATTTGCCATTTGTCGAGTATATACGTAAGGGGGTGGAAATATTTAAGCAAATAACCGCTGAAGACGTGTGCTATTATGATGCTTGGATAGGATTAGGGAGAGCACGAATTTCCTTGGTTTGTACTTAAGTACTTAAGAAATCATCTTATTTTTATATAATTATATTATTAAATTTTTTTAGCTTTTATCAACATGATTTTTTTTTATTTTAGGCGAAAATTGAAAGAGAGATGACTCAACAAAGTGATTTATCTGAGGAGGAGGAAGAAGAGAAGGAGGAGAAAGAATCATCTATAACAGAGCAGAATTCTTATAACTTAGCAACAGATGCACTTGATAAAGTAAAATATTAAATTATATTAGTTTATTTTATTAACCTAATGAAACATCTTTATTAATAATACGATAGGGTCTTTCTATCCTTAGATCTAAAGATAAGGATAAATACATGACCGAATCAATTCTTGTAGCTAAAGATCTTAAAGAATATGCATTATCAATTAATCATTCAAAGTTTAACGGTCAATTAAACTTTTAATTTATTATGATGTTAATTGGTGGTTTTTATTAAACTTAGTATAATTTATTTTATTCTTATAGATTATACGCAAAAAATATTGAGTCAGGCAATAAATTATCTTCAGACTTGTTATGAATTGGATAGTAAAAAATTAGATCAAAATAATTTCGCACAAGGAATTTGGGGAAGTTGTTTATATTATCTTGCCAAATTAAAAACAAACCAAGATAGTAATGACTACATAAGAGAATTTAAGGTACGAAATAAAATGATGTTATTCATATATGTTTAGTTAATACAAATTAAATTAAAAGTAATTTTATTATGAAAAAAAAAAATTATTTTAGTTGCTTCTCAATAGTGCGATAGAAAAGTTATTGAAAGCCTATAACGACTCTCTTGAAAAGGATAGATTCACAGAAATTGTTAATATATATAATTTTTAATATCTTCTATTTTGCGCTTGAGAATGTACAATTACTGAAAAAATTTTTTCTTAGCTTGGACAAGCATATATATTGAAGACTACTATCGAAAGTGACGAAGAACAAATTATAGAAGCGTATGATAAAGGTCTTGAATGTTTGAAAGAAGCCTATAAGCTTTTTCCAGGTATCATCTTTATTGAAATAAGCAAAATTGATTAAAGATTTTTATCTCAACAGTTTTTTATTATTACAGATAATGAAAATTTGAGAGATCAATTAGTAACACTTGATGTCTTTGATAGCAACAGCGGTAATGAGGATTTAGAGGAGGATGAGGAAGATGAGGAGGAGGAGGAATGAAAAATTTATTTATGTAAATGTTCTTTTTGACTAATAAAATTAATAAAATGAATAGTGAACAAAAGATTTATAACGGTTAATGCTCAAAGTAATTTTTACGAATTAAATAACTTTATTGATCCAAAATACACCAATTGAATGTTTATAGGTATGCCGCCCTATTCAAAAAAAAAAAAAAAAAATATCCATGTTCCATTTTGGCACATTGTAAAATTTTTCCATTTTGCATGGGAAATATAATAATGTTTTTTAGTTGTTTATACAGTTAAATTTATATTATAATCAATAATAAATAATAAGATATAAAAGAAAAAGAACCAATCCACTTTTACTAAATAACAGTAATTATAATTTTTTGTTAGTATTATTATTTAACTATACAAAGTTTTAAATTCAAATTTATAAATTTATACTTACGTAATTCAGACCCCTCAAATAATCACCCAAATCTCCAACGACTTTGTTAGCTTGGCCAGCCACAGTACCTTCCTTATAAACGCCGATAATTACGGCTTGTGCTGTTTTTTCGGCAACAACTCCATCAAGTCCCTATAACCCGATTCAATTAGAAATCTTATCATCATCATCAAAAGGAGATTCAAATGAATTTCAAAATTACCTTTTTACCATGGATATTTTTCTCGTCATGATTGAGGGCAAAATATTTAACACCGTTGGCGTATATTCCATTAGATTGAATTTTTTCTGCATTATCAAAAGCATCAACAAGAGTCTTAATTTCTTCAGGACTCAGCTATTGAATTTTTTACATCAAAGAAAATAATATAAAACGTTAATACATTTTAAAACTTAGCAATTTCAGTAAAGACTATAAGTTTTCATTTATTGTAGATAAAAGTAAAAAAAAAAATTTTTTTTCCTAGCTCACTTATTTTACTTCAAATAAAATTTTTTTCGCGTCAAAACAGATACTCCAAAGAACGAATACTTACGCTGAAACCAGGTGAAGTGGCCCACAAAGAACCATTATGACCATAAATAGCAGCTTGAGAAATTTTTCCAGTTCCAAGAAGTTGGTTATCTACGTAGGCTTGCCACGACATATTTCGATTTCAAAGATGAATAAATTTGTACCTAAAATAAATTTTGGAAGTTTTCGTAGAAAAAAAAGCAAGGAGTAAGATTATATAATGATTTTCTGTGCCAATGTGCTGTGCATTATAGATTACTGATTATATCCTTGTAACTTGTATAATAAGGTATAATATACTAAATATCTATAAACGTTTACGGCGGATAATTCTAACTGGTGTATAGTTAATCATGTGATTATAAGATGCCCAATAAGCGTCACATTTGATTGGCTATAAGTTGTAGCTACGAAGGGAGCAAAGAAGTATATAACTGATAAATTGTTTTAAGCTTTTATCAGTTCAGATGTTTGTACATCAACATCCCGAAATTGAAGATCACGTGATTTTACTTTCAAAATTTTTTTGTTGAAAATTTTTTCGAAAAAAAACACATTCGAAAGTAAAATGGCCTATCCTAATATACCCCAGGTGCCTTTTCCCCAACCAAATACTCGAATCGCTCAAACGTCTACTAACCCACCAATTACTATTTCTCCTCAACGAAGACCATCCTCTTCACCAACACCAGGACGAGAAAAAGAACTTTCACCACCACCAACTCCCCAAAGAAGAAGCGCTGGAAATTCTCCAGTAAGTTAAAAAAAAATTTTTTTTTTCTCTAAACTAAGATAATAAGGTACTTTGATATTGAAACTTCATAAAACTCAGCCCACTACACATTAAAATAAACATTAAAAACAATATATTATTTTCTATATGTTAATTGTCAAAGATCTGTCAATTAAAATTTATCTTTATATAGATGAGTTCAATAGAGAGTATAGTGACTCAACTTCTAGTCACAACTAAATTGTTGTTAGAAGGGTTAACTAATTGGTCTAAGAGGCGTATGACTGATAAAGAAGTTTCTGATATTTATGTGAAACTTGGTAACGAATTGAATACCGTTGTCCATATATTTAGACAGTCAGGTATTGATATGAGGTTAGAAAATTTTATTTATAAATTTCAAATCGGAAATTAGTATCTATGACATTAAAATATTAAAAATTATTATTCTTTTTGTAGTGATTTAGCTAACATTCCACAGGATTTAAGAAGTTGTCTAGAAAAAGCTTTGAGTGAAGAAGCTTCCCCAGCTGCTTTAGAAGCTAACCTTCCTAAAATAAGGGATATTATAGTAACTTTATTGCAAGGACTAAAGGCAAAACAAGCTTCTTATCGCCAATTACATGGCGGTTATGATCAATCACCACAGATTTCTATACCTGCACCACAAAACATGACAAGATCTATTTCAGCCAGGTCGAATTCAACAAGTCCAAAATTGGTAACTCAACAAAGTTTGACACCATCATCCAATGTTAGAAGAAATGTTAGTTCACCTTCACGTATTAATGCGGGTGGTAGTCAATCATCAGATCCTATGGATGCATTGAAATATAGTGACAATCTTGAACGGCGTGCCTCTAAAAGATTTTCTGCTTATACAATGCAAAGAGGAGGTCATACAAGAGCAAGGTCAAATTTACGTAACCAAGAAAATTTAAAACCACCATCACCTGAACCAACAACTCCTGAACCAACTAAAGATTATGGTCATGAGGAACCAGAAGATGAAAATAATTCTGTTAGCCCACAACCAGAGACACCACTATCTGAAACACAAGAAGAAAAGATGCCTAGAGAAGAGAATCTTAATGTAGAGGTTCCGTCAATCAATATTGAAGGTATTAATTAGACCAATACTTAATGTTTATTTCTAACAGAAACACTTATTTGATTCAATAATATTGTTAATCTAGAATCACAACATAGGAGTCTTACATTATTTTTACAGCTGAATAAAGATGCCAAGAAAGTTGAATATGACGGAGATATAAGTATTCCAGCTTTAAGAATGTTATTTATTGAGAAATTTCAATATAATCCTGGCCTGGACGATTTCCCTAATATTTATATAAAGGATCCATATACGGGAGTACTTTATGAATTAGAAAATCTTTCGGAGGTCATAAATAATTCGGTTTTAGCTTTGAACATTGAAGGTATGAAGAATTTTTTTTTTTTATTACCAAATGAAAAAAGTAAAGTTTGTTAATTAGTGTGATTTATAATAATTCATTTAGCTCTTGATCAAGTTAAGAAACATCTCGACCAAAGTATCGCTAATTTAACGAAGGAAATTCGTGAAATTAAAAAAACATTTTCAGAAAATGCTGAATTTTTTCGTCGTGGAAGTCTGGTTAATTCCACAACACCTACTACTCCCACACTTCCGAAACATAGCGAAAGTCAATTCAGAGATTTAGCAAGAATGGTTCTTACTAATGTGAAAAGTAAAAAAGAAAAGGATGAGAAAATTGAACAAGAAAAGAAAGATTCTCTTATTGTGAAATTTGCTAGTGATCTTAGAGGACAATTTGATGAAGTTCAAAATCTTCGAAGGGATTTGGGGGTAATGCGACAATTCTACAATGAATTTCAATCAGATACAAAAAAAATGATTGAAGATTTGATGACACAGACGACTACGATTAAAAATGTTTCATTAACAAAAATTGGATCAACAAGAACATTTATTGATGCCGGTAAAGCTAAATTGGACACACGTACAAATAATTTAGTTAACAAAGTAGATGAATTACAGGATATTATTGATGAGCTCAAAGCTGATGTTACTGCAAGAAGGAGTAAACCACGAGAAACGACAGTTCAATATGTCAAGAAAGAATCAGCCGCTGTTGCTGAAGAACTTGCGTCTTTACATGAATATGTGAAAACTGCTAAACCAATGTGGAAGAAAAGGTGGGAGGAAGAACTACAAATGATTGTTGATGAACAAAAATTTTTGAATCATCAAGAAGAGCTTATAGAAGATTTGGACGATGATAATAAAAAATTAACGGAAGTGTTTGAACATATCACGAAAGTTGTACAATTACAATCTAATTCCAGACCAAAAGAATTTATTATTAAACAAAAAGAGGAAGGATTTGAAGGGTTAAAAACTGTTCTTGAAGAAGTTCGTGGAATTTCGCCTGATCATGAGAGAAGGATAAAGGCTTTAGAAATGGCGGAAAAACAACGAGAACGTGATTTAGCAAGTCGTATTGATGAATTTGAATTAGAGTTAACAAATTTTGTTGCTCAAAATAAGTTAAAAAAGACTGGTGGAGCTGAAGAGGCAGAAAGATTAAGACAAAAGAAAAATGAAGAAACTTTGAAACAATTATTCAAAGCAGCAGAAAATACAGTTACTGAAGAAAATAACGCTTCATAATATAATTTAATTTATTATATAATGAAATATTTTGAACGAAAAATTATATTCTTATATTAAAGTACATAGTCTTATATATTGTAATTATATATATATATATTATATATATATATAGATATAGTTATAAATACGAATTAAATGAATCATTGTTTAACTATAATTTTGATGACATTACCATTAACCTTAAAAAGCATATACTTAATATACATATGTGCATAAAAGAAAAAAATAGCTTAATTTAAAATTTTCTTAATATCCCCTAAATTTAAAGAAAAAATCGTAGTCATAATATTATTGAAAACAAAGTTTGCATAAATGATAAAAATATAAATTTTGATTGTAAGTTAAATGCGAATTGTAAAAATCACATAATTGATTTTGGAACGATGATGAATCATCAACTTTAGTTGCTAACGGAGCAAAAGAGTTGACGTTATAATTATTGATATTATCGATATCCGAAAGTATAGCAAACCAATCAGTGTAAGACTCATCAAGATTATGATTTTCAATAATAGGGTCAATTTCATTCGAGGCGAAAGCGAAATTATCGTTTTTAATATCTTGCGGGGAGTCTTCGCTGTCAGTCTGAATAAAATCATCTTTGTTCTCTTCGCCGCTACTAGATTTAGGGTTATATAAACGTATTTGAATTTGCGGAGAGATTATCTTGTGAAGCTTTTTTGCTTCATCGGCGAGATTTTTATAAAAGTCTCTAACGCGCTTGGATTGACCACTCCAAGAATTTGCAATTGATTGGGACAATTCCTTTTGTTTCAAATTACTCATATTATCAATATTTTGAGTTTTAAGATATTCAATACACTCTTTACGATATAACAAGAAAGAATTAATGGTACGTTTTTGTGTATCAGTATCTTTAGATTTTCGACGATGCGGTTTAGTTTTCAGAATTTGATTCAGATTCAGATGTACTGGGGGAAATGGGACGTTATTCAAGAGTTCGAGTATCCCATTTTTAGTGATAGTTGAAGAAGTATCACCTTGAGAAGACATTAAGGAAAACGCTAATTTAACGAACAAAATAAAAATAAAAATAAATAAATTGAATGTTTAAAAAAAATAAAATAAAAATAATGTTTTAAAAAATTTAATAAAATATTGTTTCGATTTATAAAATCTTTGACTTAATAAAAGTCTTACACATTTCTCAATTCAAAAAATCAGAAAAATTTCAAAAGATATTTATATTATATTTTGAATTAAAAAACCACATGGACTAGAAATTTCCTAAAATTATTTTTCAAAGGAGATGATGCCATATTTCGCCAAGAAAATTCGACGGTAATTTTACGTAATATGTAAGAGTAGTTTAATTTTTTTCTTTCTAATTGAAAATAAAAAATAATATTATTATTATGCGTATATATGTAATGTTACTTAAAGAGAGTGCCGTAGTTCATAAATAATCAGTCCAGGCTGTTCAATTGTTCAATTGTAGAAAATAAACCTGAAATTCGTGACACTTGAACCCTTCAAATTTTTATCATCCTTTGAAGTTTCTTATTTATTAATATAACTTTCTTTTAAATAAAAGGCAGCGTGGTAACCGATTGCATTAAAATCAATCACATTCCTGGTATTGTAGATCAAAATAAAATATAATTCCGCTTTGTTTACTTTGAATATTATCCAAAACGGAGTCACAAAATTCTTAATCGTTTATTAATCGTGATAGAAAGTGTGTCATAGGTGTCATAATGAAAAAATCACGCGGGAAGTTTAACTTGTAAATAAATTATTATAAAAAAGTAATTTAACAAAGGAATTTTTTACGCGGGATATTCAATTAAACCACGTGCGCTATTATTATTGTTGTTGAAAATCTCTGGAATACATAACGCGTGTGTAACTTTCGTAATATCTTAACCGTTGATCAAAACTTGACTAAATTTAGTAGCATTAATTAAATCTGTCGGGTCTTCTTTCGAATAACATTGAGCTCTTGCTATTTAAGTTTCCTTGAAATCCTAGTAAAGAATTGATTCGGTGATGATTATAAATAATAAATAATTTTTATTATGCAAATAATAACATATAATGAATAGTTCCGATTGTAAAACATCACAGCATAATTAACTGTTACATTCAAATTTAAATATATATATATATATTAATAAAAAAAAATCTCTTACAACGTGATTGAATTCGTTTTCCGCAGGCGCAGGATAAATAAAAAATTTATATTACCTTATTACTTCAAATCCAAATTCGGTTATGGCGCTTTTATAATCAGGAACATTTTCTTTCAATGATTTATTAATATTATATTTATTACTATTATAAAATAAAGAATTTCTAAATTTAAATTCTATTTTTCATTATATTTTTCTCCTTACAAACAAACAGCGGTCAAAATAAAATAATTTTGGATCAAACATTGTTAATACTTTCTTTCATTTTTTTTTTTAATAATAAAGTGATTTTTTTTTCCTGTTCATGAATGTTTATTATACATAACAGGTTTTTTTTTTTTTTAAAAAAAAAAAGTGTTTGAATGTAAACAAATTGTTTTTTAAATAAAGTATTATTAAAAGATTACGTACCATAATAGAATCGGTTTTTTTAAAAAAATAAGATTTGAATGCTTTCGAGTTACACGTGATATGTTACGTTACACGTATTCATAGCCTGTGATGCAATAATAAGAAAAAAAAAAAAAAAATTTATTACTTAATTAATTATTATTACTTTTCCGCATCGGGGAATCGAACCCCGGCCGTCGCGGTGAAAGCGCGAAATCCTAACCACTGGACCAATGCGGATATTGATATATTAGTCCTCAATTTTAATCAATATATGTTGATATTCAGTTTTGGTTTTTTACAATGTAAATAGTAATTGATATTCCAATAATTTTTAATCTATCAGTTAAAAATGAAAAAAAAAAAAAATGTGGCGTTTTTTTTTTCATTCATTATTATACATTTATATACTTAATTTAATGTTGTACCTAACTCATTAGCAAACCTTATTAGGCGGTTAACTTCGGTCCTTAGCCGATAAATTAAATAACTCTAACTATATTTTTTCTTTATTCGAAGAACAAAATAGAAGGTTTTTGAATGAATGCATTACCGATTGGAAAAAAATGACGCGATATCGTTTATTTAATAATTTAGAATTTGAAATGACAAACAAATTTATCATTTGTATTTCATGAATCGAATGTTCTATTATAATTATTAAAGTTTCAGGATTGCCGGAAAGCGAACAATGGACACTACAGCATTTTCCGATTTAAATGTGGAGCATACATATCCTTTTTTGGAGTTGTATATATATATATATATATATTTTTCAAATAGTTTATATATGTACTATTTTAAAAATTTCTTTAATTTAAAATCTCTCCGAAAAATAATTTAACAGTAATATAATAAAGAAGTAATGAAATAAACATTTCAAATCTTATAACGGATTTTAAAATATTGATGGATTTATCATTCCGTCTTTATTATGACTCTTTCTTGAGTCCTAAGTGTGGCACATTAGGAGTTTGAGACGAATGTTATAGTATCGTACCGCATATTTTTATAAGGAATCAACATATTTAATATTTAATGGTATTTTCATATTGAGTTTCTTGTGCGGTACGATAGATATTTTTCGATTTTTCGGTGTACGAATAACTTTATCTTTTCTTGAATTAATTTTACGTACTTAATTAATATTTATAATGACTGCTATTCTTTGTATAAAATGGTTAACTCGAAAATTTATTTAAAAAACGTTTGATAGAAATTTTTATTAGAATTATGCATACATAAAATTGTTTACAGTTTATATGTTGTGTTAAATTTCTTGAATGGGGGAAAATATATAAATCTGCCATTAGAAAAGGTTACTGGAATCTTCTAAAACATATACAAAAAATTTGTGTTTGGTGTAACTTTACACGAATTTTTTTTTGAATAAACTCAATTCTCCAGACATGGCATCGTAAAAGAAACATGGATACCAAACCTCATCACACAATTGAGTATTATAAATCAGAAATTGTTAAAAAAGATGAGATAATTGAAAAATTATTTGAAGAAGTTGATGAATTAAAAGAAAATCAACAAGAACATAATAAAGTTGTTGAAAAATTAAAAAATGAAACGGAAAGTTTAACTCAAGACAATCATAAAAAGGACCAATTTATTGAATCATTAAAAACTTATTATAATAAAGCTTTGGATAAAATTAATAATTATGAAAATTTATTGCAAGACATGCAACAGAGAGAGAATGATTGGAAGAAAAGAGAAAATGAATGGATAAAACAACACGACAAGTTAGACGAACTTCGTTCTCATTTAGCGAAATCTTTGGAGAAATCTTTATAGCAGCGATAACGGATTATTATTTATTTATGATAGTTATTTAGAATTTCAATAATATTGATAACATTTTTCATAATCCAAATTGTAATCTTTAATAATAATTTGATAACATTTTTCATAATCCAAATTGTAATTTTTAAAATTGCCAAATACAATAATACATTTTATTTTATTTATACTTCAGATATCATATATAGATTCAGCAGATATAATAAAATATTTATTTGTACATCAAATTATTATTGATTAGATGAGAGCGCAATTACTGTAAATTCAATTTTATCGGGATCTCTGTTCATAAACTTTTTGATGATTTTAGCCGAATCCTATTTAGATCAAAAAATATATAACATATATATATTATTATTATTATAGGTAATACGCAAAATAATATGAAATAAAAGTAATATGCTTTTTATTAACCTTCAATAAATCAGTGCATTTTCCATGATTAATAGGAAACGGTTTTCTTCCGTCTAATTCATAAAGAGAACCATCCTTTTCGACAAACGCGGCGAAATGTGAATTCACATCTTCGTCTGCTCTTGGTGCCTATTAATAAATAATTAATTTATATAATTACAAAAACGAATTAAAAATCAATAATTTATAAATTTACTTTAGTTTGTCCCGATGATGCAGAAGCTTGATGAGCTTCTGCCAATCCTTCATCGTCCTCAAGAACCTTAGCGCGTTCTTCAGGTGTTAAATTCTTTGTTTTATCCAATAAACTCTTAAGTGGACCATCTTAAATTAAAAGAAACGCGTCATTATATTATTAACGTGCTTATCATTAAATTAAATCATTTTTACAAAATTTTTTTTTTTTTATTCAAAGAAACATTAGTAAACGTTCTTTAATTAGAAAATACAATACATACCAATTTTAATTACATCCGTATTGCTGGCTAGAGTATGTAACAATCCAATAGTACCACATGCGTTAGATATCGTTTGTCTAAAAAACACTACATTTGGGGAAACTTCTTGCCCATTTTCTTGAATTTTTTTCGCTTCCTCTTTACGATCTTTCTCATAATTTTCGGTTATGGGAAAAAGAAGAATAACTGCTTTGACGGGTTGAGGGACCATTAAAAGAAGTTCATCATCAAGACCTATAAAAAAGAATATAATAATTAAAATTATTTTAAAATATTTGATAGGAACGAGTGTTACTAATGCAAAAAGTCAAGTACTTGCCCAAAACGTCAGTATAAGCCCAATCTTTAGATACTCCTAGTTTATAAACATACTATCCAAGTGGAAATAGAAATTTGTAAGTATATCATATCTTTTCTCTTTTTTTTTTAGGAAAAGAAAACAAGAACCTTACGTCGTTCATAACCTAAAAAAACAGAGAAAGGAATTTAGTAACGGACAAAAAATACATTTGCGTATAATATCATAAATAAAGTAAAATAAAGGCTATTAACTTGAGGGTTTGATTCCAATGGGAGCCATTTTGACTTCGACATGGTGTTTGATTCTTGTGTGAAGAAGATATCATTTCTTGCGCGGTTATATAGTTATTAAATTTCTAAATCATGTGATCATGAGATTAATTTAAGTCTTAATACGTGTAAAATACGTACGTAATTCCGCGAATTCCGATACGTAAATTATGTAAACGTAATCAAACTACGGTAATGATAATCCCAATTAAATTAAACTTTTAAGGATTAATAACCCTATTAAAATAACTCAAAACGAATCTAATGATGACTAAATGGAGAGCTATAATTAATATAATTTTAACTTCGCCAAAATTGTGATGAAGATAAATTCCGATCACTAGATCATGAGCTGATTAACGCTAACGTAATACAAAAATTATTTACGTAATTTTTATCCATGTGATATCAAATTTTGTACGATTTGTACGACTAAAAAAAAAAAAAAAATATTTTTAAATCAGATTATCTTAGAATTCAAATCTAAATGAAGGAATATCGAATATCTTCCTTTCCTAACGTTCTTGCGTTTAGAATACAATCCTATAGTGCTTTTTTGAATGAATGAAATGCAATTACATTCATGATAATTTAATTTTAATATGCGTCCAATAATAAATGCAAGATTAACAGCAGCACAAAAATCAAAAGTTACATTTACGTTATTCTCAAGTGTTGCTTTATTTGCAATATTTACAGTTGCGGCTCCAGCTATTTTGCCTTGCCCAGCATTTGATGAAACTCAACGTAAAGCATTATTAGAACAACGTCGTAAAGCTAAATTAATTGGAAGAAAAGAGGTTGTAATTGAACCTAGAAAACATAATCAACAATATCAAAAGAAAGTTGAAAGTTAATATTTGATGTGATGTATATAGAACGAGTCGAAATTGGGTGATTAGTTTATAATTCGTGAAAGATTGTAGTAAAAAGTATTTAGTAGTAGAATGTGTCATGTATATATATACTGTATATCTCATTTTTTTCTTATTTGATGGCAATTTATTATTTAGTGCTAGATGTAACAATTTTTATTCAACATATATTTACATTTAGTATTTAAATATAACATTTAAATGAATTTTATCTACATTTTTTTTTTTTTTTCATTGCGATTAAATATAATAAACATTCTAATGAAAATTTTTTGTTTAATGCTTATTTGCTGAATTTATTTACAGATTACAATAAGAATAATAAGAATTAATAATTAAGAATTAAGAATTAAGGAAATTAAAGAATTAAAAGAATTAAAATAAAAATTAAATGTAAATAGCAATAATTTGTAAGTGCACCCGGAATTTCTTAGAAAAATCATTTCTTTTTCTTTTTCTTATTATGACATTTTGACACTTTTCTTCTTTGAACTGTTTGTAAACACACACTCTTCACTTACGAATGAATGTCTTTAACGCTATCGTTTTCATAAACTTCTAATTGTCTTTTACCTTTTCTCAGCATATATTCTATCATATTATGATCTCTTGGTGATATAGTATGTTGACGAAATTGTGATCTTACAAATTGTTGAAATCTATTTTGCGCTTCCTTATTAATTGGGTAAGAGAAAGGATTAGTATTTTACGAAATTAAATCAAATAAAATTTTTGAAAATTGAAATTACAATAGGTTTTTTTCGTACAGCTCTACAACATATTCGATAAAAATTTATTACTTCGGTTTGTAAACCTGAACGACGTATTTGTGACATTTGTTTCAAAAAAATAAAAAAAAAAAAAAAATCTCGTTATAAAAAACTCGATCATGATTCTGAGAGACCTATCAAATTCCGATTCTTAGTAGTGAGTCAGTCAATTAGACATACGATAATTAAAGAAATAATTTTATTTATTAAAATGTTTATATTTTTTACATCACAAAAATAATTATTAATAAATTAATTATTTTTAATATAAAAATGTTTCTTTTTTTTTTATTGTAAATTCTTTTTCAATGTTTGTCATGCTGATAGAAATGTACGAGCCACAATTCCTCGTTATATCTAACATTTTATACGGGATTGTTAGTACCATTTTGTTGTTGCTGTTGTTGTTGTTGTTGTTGTTGTTGTTGTTGAGCATTTAGCTCATTTTCAGCTTGAATTAGTAGCTGTTTTGCATTTTGAACGCCTTGAGTAAGTTGATTGGCCTGTGAATCTATCCATTGCAGTGATGTTAAATGCGAATTAAGAATCTTGACAACTTCATCCATCTGAAATTAAGATTTAAGCAAGAGATTGAATAATGTATCCAATTTCTATCACTAAATATAATAATTTATTACAAAATGACTTTGTTACTTACCGGGTCCTCCTCTATGTCTTCTTTATCTTGATTTCCATTTGATTCATCAATAACATAAGGTTTTATTATATTTCGATTTACATCAGTAATAATGGTGGACAAAACTTGACTCATTTCACCTAATTCTTGGTTGATTTCTTCGGCCATATCATAACTATTTTCAAAAAAAAAACATTGAATTAATAAATTAATTTAGAATTTAATAATAAAAATAAAAATATATATATATATTTTTAAAATATACTTCTTCTCCCTCTCTTTGTCTAAAGGTTTCGTACTATCCAGTACTGGTTCTGAAAATTTCACTTCATACTCTGACAACATCTTTTCAAGATCATCCTGGCGTCTCGCGATACTATCCAGACCTGCATCTATTTCAGACTGGAGCAATTCAGCTTTTGTTGATTCTTCTTCTAATCTAACAATCTATAATAATACCAAAAAAAAATCAGATCTTCTATTTATAAATTTAATAACGTTTTTTAAATTATTAATCACCCTTCCAGAATTTTCAATAATCTTTTGGTCCTTTTCCCTTAATTGACTTGCTTGATTATGAAATTTCTTGAGGGAAGTATCCAGGTCCTTTTTCCATCTATTAATTATAGTTTCAATGTTACTGTTCTTTAGCCAAGCTGAAGAAGATGGTATGCTTTCAGTTGATGATTGTGACGTTGTTCCAACCGTAGTAGATGTTCTTGCTGGAAAATTTATGTTGCTGCTGGATGATGTTTGTAAAGTTGGCCTAAATTGAGACGGTGTGGTTGATGAAGTCGGAAAAAGCCCAGTAGATGTAGTCTGTGGTATAATTGAAGGAGGTTTTGTTATAGATAAAGACGGTGCTTTCAATGAAGCTTTACATAAAACTTTGGTTAGTATTATAAATAAAGGCAATTGATGTTCAAAAAAAAAAAAAAATTTTACTCACATGAAGTTGAAGGAAAAATTGACGGAGCAATAGTGGTAGTTGTGCTTGTACCAAATGCTGAAAATGGTCTCGCAGTAGTTGATTGTGTAGTTGATTGAGTGGATGATAAACCACCAATTCTAGACGCAAGATTTGAACTTTGACTCGGAGATGTAGTAGTTGTAAGGCTAAATCCAGTCTGTAATGTTGGAGTCGTCATACCGCTTGGTTTATTTAAATTTCCAAAAGGAGACGTATTGGTTGTTCTTGGGTTACCGAAACCAAAACCTGTAGCTGAAGCAGGTGCGGAAGTAGTTGCAATATTTCCGATAGACCCTAAACCTGCTCCAGAAATTGTTGATGCGGTGGCGCTACTTTGTCGGAAACTTCCAAGTAATGTGGATTGAGATCCGGCAGATGTTGTTTGATTTGTATTTCCAAACGATCCGAATGCTGACTTTGTAGTGGCAGTGCCACCAAAGCTGCTAAAGGGTGATGTAGGAGCAGTGGTAGCAGCACCAAATGATTGAGCTTGAGTTGAAGCTGCAGAAGTAGAAGAAGTTTGATTTCCGAAACCAGCAAGTCCTGATTGTGACGTCGTTGTAGTGGATGATGATAGGCTTCCGAAACCAAATCCAGGCTTAGTCGTCGTCGCAGCAGTTGATGGTATGTGTCCAAAACCGAATCCAGATTTATTCGTCGTTGTATTGGTTGATGTGTTTCCGAAATTACCAAATCCTGATTGGGTTGTCGTTGTAGTGGATGGTAGGCTTCCAAAACCAGCAAATCCTGGTTGAGTGGTTGTTGCAGTAGGTAGTGATGGGTTTCCAAAACCTAAACCAGGTTTATTCGTCGTTGTATTGGTTGATGTGTTTCCGAAATTACCAAATCCTGATTGGGTTGTCGTTGTAGTGGATGGTAGGTTTCCAAAACCAGCAAATCCTGGTTGAGTGGTTGTTGCAGTAGATGATGATGATGGGTTTCCGAAACCAAATAATGCTGGTTGAGTGGTTGTTGCAGTAGATGATGATGATGATGGATTTCCGAAACCAGTAAATCCTGATTGAGTTGTTCCGGTAGATGATGTCGTGAATCCAAATGGTTTAGCTGAACTCTGAGTATTAGTAACAGTACTGAACGGCGATTGGGCTTGAGTTGAGACAGTAGTAGGAGGTGACGTTGTTTTTGGAAAACCAAATAATGAAGGTCCTACAGTTGTTGCAGTTGTTTGACTTGCAGTCGTTTGATTTGCGACTCCAAAACTTATTGGTTTACCAAATCCAGCTGTAACACCACCAAAAGGCGCTGTTCCATTATTATTAAAACCGCCGAATGCACTACCGCTTTGTTGCGTTGCTGTATTATCTTTAAGCAAACTAGAACCAGCTGCTGCACCTCCAGTCGTGGATTCAGTTGGTTTACTAAATGAAGGAAATGAAGATTGTGTGGTTGAAGAAATTGGAGCACCAAACGAAGGTTTCATAGTCGACGTTTGGGCGAAACTTTGTGAACTAGAAGGAAAAGCAGTTGTTGGAAAAGGAGAATTTGTTGTCAAGGTAGCAGAAGAACTTCCAATAGTAGTATTTGTTGATGAATCACTTATTGGTAATGTTGTTGATCTTGTACCCGCATTGCTTTGAGCACCTGTTGATGTAGACTGCTCGCTACCTTGTGTTGTTGTTGGAGCTGGGTTATTATTATTTGAACTTTCTGCTATTAAGTAAAATTACATTTTTAATGACACGTCAAAAGCATGAAAAAAGAGAAGAAAGAGAAGAAAGAAGGTAGAGAAAGTAGAGATAAAAAAATTACAAAGACTTACCCATCGTGATAAATTTTTAAATTTTTGAAAAGTGAAATGTGCTGCAATAATTTTTATATGTGTACTAAACGCACGTGATATTCATATGACATGCTATTTTTACGCGATATCAATTAAAACGACAAATAAAAAAAATAATAGTTACTAACGAATTAGATTAATAAATGGTAAACTATTTTTAATTTGTAATCATAATTTTATATACAAATCTTTTGTAAATATTTATTTTACAGGATCAAGCGAACAAACCGAATTCTATCAAGCCACCGCCTCAGCATAATCGCGTATTGCAAGAAATTACGGGCCCTCTGGTTTTTCAATGTTTAAAATGTCGACTGATAGTGGGCGATTCGTTCGCGTTTGTTACAGCTGATCGTGATTTGAACTCGGTTGTGTTGTATGGTTAGAAATTTATTTAATTTCTTACGCGTCTTTATTTTATATCTTTATATATATACATTTTAACTTAAAAAAAAAAAATATTAATTTCAGCAAAACCTCATAACATCAGGGTTGGTACAGATCTGTTATGGTCAAGAGAAGGCATTGATATTGGAAGGTTAATAATTTTTTATTGGAGATGGTACCTATCACAATGGCTCAAATTTTTTTTGTCTCAATTATATAGTACATATATTATGATATACTGTAACGGTTGTAATTTGACGCTTGGAAAAGTATGGCGTACAACACCACGTAAATTAGATTATATTCGGTATTAAAAATTGTTCACAATTACATATCCAATTTGTTAAATTTGATGAAATTCTCACTTTTTCAAAAAATCAAACAGTGATTTATACACACTTAATTTAGATTGCGTTATGATGTAGGTATTTATTTTCTAATGAATTATTTTGAACAAAAGTATTAGTATTCGCGAGTTTTAATGTTTTAATTATTAATTTATTAGCTATCAGTTGGGCGATTTTATTGATCCAAATTCTACACCAACGGATATACATACTTTGCCGAGTTCTAGGATGCAACAAATATCAATAAATAAGGTATAATACTTTAATTAGCAAATTCGTTTAATATATCATAAATTTACGCGACATGAAATTGATTATTAATTATGATCCAATTCATTAATTATGATAAAGCTTAAAGACATGATTTTAATACTTAACGAACGGATCACAACATTAGAACATACTCTTGATAAACGCGTAAATAAAACACCAAATGATTCTGCGGTTTCTTCGTCAACCGAAGGTAGCAACGCGTGTATTGTTGTTACATCTCGTGGTATGTAATTTCTTTCGATTATTTTAAAGAAGAAAGTCTTATTCTTCTGATCTATTATATCAAAATTTTTCCTTAATTAGGTGCTCAGGATAATTCAATCGAGACACATCCTAATCATCGAATTTTGGGATGATCGTATAATTTTGTAATTTAATGTTAATTGTAAGCATAAAATAATTCATTCAAATTTTCGATATTTTACGTTCCTACTAAAGATTTACGTGTATCTGAATAAATTTAGTACTATAATTTTTTTTAGTTTCATAAGTCACAATAATATTTTAAATTAATAGCTTCCTACTTTTTACATTATCGTTATCCCATTACATTAAAAGTCGCGTTACCATTTCAAGAGAGAGGAAAGGATCGTAAGTATCGTAATCAAAAAAACATTTCAAAGGAAAACTGACTCATTCTAGCGTATTTAAGTTAAAAACAACACAATATGACAATATTAATAACTCTGCTTTGAATTATTATATAATAAAGATCTTTTTTTAATTCATGAAAATAATAATTATTCTTTTCAAATTAGGATTCAATATAATATTTTTTTTTTTTTCTTATCTTTTTTTTTTTTCAAATAAAAAAATACATTGAAATTTCCTAATACCCTATTTATAGTATAAAATTTTAGTGTATATATATTATATTTATATATCATTTATTCATATTCATTTATTTATAATAATATTGATGATGGATTTACTATAAAGTAAAAAAGATGAAAAGAAAAAAAAAATTGTTAGTAACAGATATTTGACATTCAGATTTATATACTTTTTTTTAAAAAAAAAAATGAAATATTAATACATACAACTTTCTCTTCAATTAGACCATCTTTAAATAATGTGAAATAAGGTGTTATACCATCTTCACGATAATTCAACAAAGCGATCATGCCTTCTTGTTCAAAATTTTTTCCAGTATAGAACTGATAATCTATTTATAAATAATTAAAAATTATTATTACTATTATTATTTAAAAAAAAAAAAAATTATATATGTATATTACCATTAAAATTGCCTAAGACTTTTTTACTAAAATTAGTAACTTTATCTTGCCATGCTTTCAAATCTACATCCGGATTTTTTTCTTTAACCTTTTCGGCTAATTTTTTCACATATTTTTTTAGATAAGTTTGATAAGCTTTCTTATCAAAAGAAATTTCTTGAAGATTAAATGCGTTAACTACATTATTAACTTGTTCAGATCCTTCTTCAAGTGTTTCCTCAGCTTCCTCAGCTGAAGGATTTGCTCCAATATCAATATCAACTCCTTTTTTAACCGTTACAAGCTATTTAAGAAAAAAAAAAAAACATACATAATTTGATCAAATATGCATATATATATTAAAGGGATAAAAAAACCTGTAGTTACCTGACAGTCAATTTCATAAACGACATCGTCAACCAATTTCATAGGGTAAGCATCAGAACAGAATTCTTCTTCTAAATAAATAAAAAAAAAAAAATCGATTTTTTTTGAATGAAATCTTACTTTTAGTTGAATATATATATTTTTTTTTTTAGATTACAAAATTAATTTTTCCCCCTAAAAAAAAATAAATAAATAAAAAATAAAAATTATAAAACTAACAGGGGTTCTATATAAATCCCCAACGAAAATATAATTTATCTAATAAAAAACCAATTAAAGCTCATATCTATTCTTTCCGATTGCAACCAACTCAACATCGAATACAAGAGCGGCATCCGCTGTTTTTTTTTCAATATAAAAAAAAAAAAAATTAATCAAGTTATAAAATAAAAAGATTTTTCAAATGTTTTAGCATATAATTACCAGGAATGAGTGGTGGGCTGCCTCTTGGACCATAGGCCAAATCGGAAGGAATAATTATTCTACGTTTTTCTCCAATGCACATTCTTTAAAGTTTAAATAAGTAATTAAATACGTAATCAAAAAATATTATGATATAAATCATGATGATAAATAATAATTATGAGACTTACCCGACTAAACCTTGATCCCAACCTATTTTTTAACATACATAAGGGTTAGTTTAATAATAACGGACGATTTTTAAAGCATGTTAGATTATAATTCATAACAAACCTTTAATAACATGTCCAGCACCCAAGGTAAATGTGAAAGGTGTACCGCGAGGTAAGCTAGAATCAAATTCTTTACCATCTTCGAATAAAGTTCCTGTGTAGTGAACGGATAAGGAATCTCTGTAAATATATAAAGAATTCAATTAGGGTTCTGATAAACGATATATTTTGAAATAAAGTTACATTAGTATAAAATTTACCCATTCTTAGATCTCTTACGACAAATTCCGTCGGAAATACGATTCTTAATGCCTAATTCATTAACAAACAATTTATAAACACACAAAAATATGCAACATTTTAAAATATAAAAATACAAAAATAAAAGTAACTTACCAACTTGCAAAGTTTTTGGAGGTTCTTTAGCATCAACGAAATAACATGTCAAACAAACAATAGCTATGAAAAACAAGATTATTATATTTTGTCTCATTTTCATATTTTTTTTTTTTTTTTTTAAAAAAATTTAAATTTTTTTTTTTCCTTTTTTTTTAAAAAAAAAGAAATTTTTCAAGCGTTAAAAAAGAAAAATCTCACTCGAAAAGATCGTAATAATAAAAGGAGAATTATACGTTGTCAAAAAATGATTGGCGAAATAAATTTAATAAATTTTAAGTTTTTCAAGGGGCACCACGTATAAATTATTGTTTCATATTTCGTAAAATGCGGGTTTCAGTCTAGTTTAGAAGATTTTACCAAGATTAGCTTAAGTAAAGATTACGTGCGTTTTTTTTTAATGCAAAGTAATTTACTTTTAGTGGTTCAAAAATTTTTACTTACTTACTTTTTTGAAGATTAATGATGATCTTTGTAATTTTTTTTCCCTCTCATTATCACAAACAATATATATTTAGTAATAGAAAATCTTTTATTATTGATTAACGTTTGTCATATAATGTTATAAATGTTCAAAATCAAGTTTTTCATCCAATTAAAATCTTACATATTTGATAATAATCGTGGTAATAATGGACTTGGAGCTATGAAAAGCCCAAATGAATACATCAAATTAATTCAATTTAGAAATAACTGTTTATTTTTAAAAGTTCGGAAAATTAGAATCAAGTTTCAAAAAAAAAAACTTACGGATCAATGATTCAATGTTGCATATATAATGTATATATGGTAAATATAATAAATACTATACAATACAAAAAAAAAAAAAAAATTAAAATTTTCGGAAAATTTATATCCGTTTAAAATTTTTTCCATTATTATTATTATTTGACGCGATAACAGATATCAGATATAGTAATAATAAAAGTTTTAATGATTATTTGTTGAAATTTTTGACATCAAATAAAAATAATTCATCATTATCGTATTTGTTATTATTCATATAAGTATTATTAATTAAGCATTCTTGAAAGAAAAATGAAAAAACAAATAACTAAACAAAAAAGAAATTTATAATGAGAAAATTTTTTATATCACAAAATAAAATTGGTGTAAATCATGCATATATTTCTTTTTTCAGCCTCTACTACTCAAAATTTTTTATCGTCGAATAAATATTATCTAAAGTTGTTTGTTTATCATCGGCTATACGATTTTTTGTTTATTGCAATTACGGGTAATATGTAGTGTTACTAATGTATGACTTTTAAATGAATAGAACTAAACAAAAAGTTTTCTAGATTTTCGGGGTTGATTTAATGACGGAATATATATAAAGACAATAAAGAAGATATATTTATGCATTACCTGTACATTACACCCTTATAGCTGGTAGATACCTATCGATTAAGGTACAATATATAAATAATCAATAAACAAAAAATTAAATTAGGAAAAAGATTTTCAAAGACTAATATCGCGTGGAAATTTACCGATTATCCAAGAAAGGAATTAATGACTAATAAAGGAAATTTTAATTAATTGGTTTATAACTTGTATTTGATTTTTTTGTCTTTTCGCAAAAAAATTAATTATCGGAGCGAAATAAAAATTTCGGAACAAAAAAAAATATGTCAAGTCGATTAATTTTCAGGATAGTTAATTTTCTTCACAATGCGGGAATACACAAAAACCCTTGAATCTTTTACTGTTCATCTCTTGGCAACACCGAACACTACATAAATGTTATATACACAAATATATGCAATATTTTTTTTCTTTTAAATAAGATTACTGTTGATATTGAACGAACTTAACTTTCTTTTTTTTTTTCCGAATTTTTTTTATATATATAAAAAAAAAATATTTTTTTTTTTTTTTTTTTTTTTAATAAATAGCAAGTATAATAGATGCAACATTAAAAGAAAATTGGTGTAAATCTACAATTGAAGTATGTGAATCAATATGTAGAAGTAGAAATACAGTACCAGCAGTAGATCAATGTACAGGATTAAATTTACTAGAAAATTGTTTATGCACAGATGGTTACGCTCCAACATTAACTAATTATGAAAATACGGTATCATACTACTTATGTGAATATAATAGACCATCTGGTCCTTGCGTAAATTCTTGTTTCTTGGGTACTCCAGATTGCATAAAATTAAATAATAATAAATCACCCAGTAATATTGGTAATACAAAAACAGCTACTAATGGAGGTCCTAATAATACCGGAGGTCCCGCTAAAGGTCCAATTGCTGGGGGCCCCGCTAAAGGTCCAGGTGGTGCTCCACCAGGTGGTGCTCCAGGTGATGCCCCAGGTGGTGCTCCACCAGGTGGTGCTCCGGGTGGTGCTCCAGGTGGTGCTCCAGGTGCTGCTCCACCAGGTGGTGCTCCAGGTGGTGCTCCAGGTGCTGCTCCAGGTGCTGCTCCAGGTGCTGCTCCAGGTGCTGTCTCTTATACACATCTAGATGTGTATAAGAGACAGGCTCCGGGTGGTGCTCCAGGTGGTGCTCCAGGTGCTGCTCCACCAGGTGGTGCTCCAGGTGGTGCTCCAGGTGCTGCTCCAGGTGCTGCTCCAGGTGCTGCTCCAGGTCTGTCTCTTATACACATCTAGATGTGTATAAGAGACAGGAAAAGCTCCAGGTGCTGCTCCAGGTGGTGCTCCAGCTCCAGGTGCTGCTCCAGGTGCTGCTCCAGATGCTGCTCCACCAGGTGGTGCTCCAGGTGATCCTCCAGATGCTGCTCCACCGGGTGGTGCTCCAGGTGGTCCTCCAGATGCTGCTCCACCGGGTGGTGGTGCTACTCCACCTGCTGGACCAGGTAAAGTTCCAGGTGGTAAGGTACCTGGTCCTCCCGCTGGAGAACCGGGTGGTAAGGTACCGTCTAATGAACCAACAGCGCCACTTCCACCTGGTGATGGTAAAATACCGAGTACTTCATCAGGTAAGTAAATCTTAATCTAAACCTTTTTTTTGTTGATTTCGTATACGCATGTATATTTACTTTTTTTTCCTTCTTCAATTCGTTAGGTAATCCTTCATCTGGTACAGATAATCCTAATAATCCCAATAATCCCTCAGGAAAAATACCTAATGAAGATCAAAATTCAAATAATAAAAATGTTACAATAGCGATTGGAGTAAGCGCAACATTATCATCAATGATAATAGCAATAATATTAGTAATATGGTTTAGACGTAAACGTAATAAAACACAATCAGGAGGACATTTCTTTGATACTATAACAAGAAATATTGGAAATGCTTTTAGTAGTAATGGTGGTAATTCAACATCATCGGAAGAAAAAAGAATATCAGTATTAAAATCTGGATTAATTAAAGGCAATAATTCTAAAACTAATAGTAGTGGTAATTATTCAACGGAATCATCAAATTTAGCAGTAAGAGAACCTAGTAATAATGAAGTTATTGATTTTGATAATAGAAGAACTAGTGGTGGTATTTTTATTACTAAAACTCATTCTATTAGTGTACAACATGACAATGATTATTTTGGTACTAGTTCTTTAAGTAATCTAAGTTCCGCCAATAGTTTTGTTTCAATGGATAATACAACAAAATCTCGTAATAGAAGTAGTTTTACTTCTAATAATACCAAATCTATTAATAGTGTTGAAAATTTAAATTTTAATTATACTACTAATAATATGAATAATAAATATAGTAGTAGCGATAGTGGTTATTTGGCTAATAGTAGTAATTTGAACACTTCTAGTGAAGATGATAATTTTCTCAATATAATCACTTTTTAAATATTATTGTATAAATTAAATTAGCATTAACAATATAACACCACACATTATTACCAAAAAAAAAAAAATTTTGAACCTAATTAAATAATGATGATATTTAATAATTTATCAAAATAAATAACATTGATAAAAAAATTTTCTTATCTGTGGTTATAATTTTAAACTAAATTTTTGTAATTCCTTCAATGCAATTTACTTTCAACAATTCATTTAAATTTTTTTATCCCCTTCGAGTAATTCACTTAAATTTTTTAATAAGATTTCATTTTCTTTAGGAGTTCCAACGGTAATTCTTAAACATCCTTCACAACCAATTTCATTTCCTCTATATCTAACTACTATACCATGATTTTCTGCTAATTCTTTATAAATTTGATGAGCTCTATCATTACTAACTATATTTTGATCATTTTTATCTAATATTTGTACCAATATAAAATTCGCATCATTTCCTCCTAAAATTTTTCCAATACCAGAAATTTTTTTAATAGAAGAAATAAGTTTATTATGCTCTGAACGTATTTGTTGTTTAATTGATTTCATTTTTAAAATATTTTGTTGTGATAACGCTGTATATGTTACATGTGATGTTAACGCACTTATGTTATATGGTGCTTTTGTGTTATTCATTAATTGAATTATATTTGGATTAGCGATTGATACTCCAAGTCTATAAATAAAAAAATATATATGTATGTATATTAAAATATATAAACTTTTTTTTTTAAAAAAAAAAAATCATGAAATTTACTTCCTTTATTTACATTACCTGATACCAGCCAATCCAAAACTTTTACTTAAAGTTTGCATAATAATGAGATTAGGATATTCTGTAACCCATTTAACTAAACTACCATTTTTATTCTTTTCTTCTTCAACAAAATCAATATAAGCTTCATCTATAACTACTACTCCATTATAATTTTCATCTTCTAATAAAATCTTAATTGATTCATGTGATAATGCTGTACCTGTCGGATTTCCTGGTGAACATAAAAAAATTATTTTTATATTCTTTTGTTCTTTTATAACGTTTAATATCTTTTTGTTTTTTTTTAAAATAATAATAATAATAATAATAATTTAATTAATTTAATTAATAGATATAAATAAAATGAAAACTTTTAATTATTCACTTAAAAAACCACAAATATATATATATATATATATATATTATTACCTCATCAGTTTTTAATTGAAATTTTCCATCTTCAACATCAAGATTAACTTTAATAATATTAACATCATTAATATTTGCACAAACAGAATACATTCCATAAGTTGGTGGTGTAATTAAAATTTTGTCTTTTCCAGGTATACAAAATATTCTTATAATTAAATCAATACATTCATCTGATCCTACTCCTAAAAAAAAATAATCTATATTAGGTACTTTTCTAAATTCTACTAATCTTTCTTTAATATTAACTTGATTTGGATCAGGATATCTATTAAGATTTTCTATTCCTAATGTTAATGTTTCCCCATTTTCTTTAAATAATTTATCATCATTTTTAGGTAATATAACTCCAAACGAATTTTCATTTGCATCTAATAGTATTCCTGATGAATAATCATCTCGGGCACATCTATACGGCTTAAGTGTTAATATGTTTGGTCGAACTATCGATTCCAATGAAAACGTTTTTTTATTATTAATAGACATTTTGTTTTTTTTTAAAAAAAACAAAAAAAAAAAAATGAAATAACAGACTATTTTATAATTTTATCTCGTTACACGAGATTTGTATGATCATAAAGATCTTCATTTTGTTTACCAATAAAAGAATTTGGCGCGCAAAAAATTGTGGCTCAATAATCCCTTATTTAAAAAAAACCGTGATCTACGAAATAGATTATCTCTTATCATTAAAAATATATAATTTTTTTTTTTTAAAAAAAAAGAAAAGAAAAAAATTTTTTTTTTAGGCATGGCATCAAAATATATATCATCATTAAAATTACCCTCAAAAAAAGTACTAATATTTTTTGGTTCATGCACTGGTATATCATTATTAATATATCGTGACAATAGATTATCAAAAGAAGCTAAAATATCTTTAGTGAACAAAGTTTCTCATTTGGCTTCAGAGCCTTTAAGTGCACACGAATTACCTAGAAAAGTAACTGTTTATTTGGCCCCTCCTTTAGGTGATGGTGTATATAAAACTAAAATTCACTTTCGTGAGTACGTATTGGTATGTATGAATTGTAATAATCACGTTAAACATTTCTTCAAATAATAAAATTTATATCAAAATTAATTTTAACTTAGCCAGTGCTTAATGCTGCTGCTCTGGAGTATGATATTGTTGAAGGTACAAAACCAGGTCAACTTCGTTCAAAAGTGCGTGAAGCAATAAGAGAAAAACGTAAACAAGAGTTATCCCCGTCTTCATCACAATCATCTTTATCATCTACTGCAGATTCTGATCAACCTTTTAAAACTATAACTCCTTCAAAACCAATTGATGGTGGTACTATAGTAATAGGTAGAATTAGTTGGATTGAATATTTACAAGGGCTTAATGAAGGTTGTATCGCTTCTTTAGAAGATCCCCCTTCTAAACAAACAAAATCTGATTTAAATTCTGAACAAGCTGATCAACAATCAGACAAATCAGACACTAGTCAAGATAAAAATAATAGCAATGAAGAATCGGAACCAGAATTTATTATTAGCGAAAAGGATTTTTCAGTACCCGAACTGGATTCGATAGGTTATATCCATTTCTATAATAGAATTGGTTGGAAAAATTTTCCTTTGAGACTTTATTATGCTTTAAATTCTTATAAAGAATTTGATTTGGCTGGTGAAGATGCTGTTAAAGTAGCTCTTGGTAATACAAGACAATTCAAAAAAGATGATCTAAATCTTGGCAAAGATGAAGAAAATTTTTTTAAAGGAACTTTAAATGAACCAACAACAATAGACGAAAGAATTATTGCAAAACTGTCAATGTACACCTAATAAAATTAATTTACGGTGAAATTTTATTTTTATTTTTTATTTGAAATTTTATTTAAACAAGTTAACTGCATAAACGTTATTCCTTGTTGTTATACTGGTTCTGAAACAATTCCGCAACCTAATAAACATACGAAATCAATAAGTTAATATTAAAAGGAAATTCTACCTATTTACTTAAAAATTCAACAAATAATATTTATTACCTGTTCACTAGTGGTTGCGTCTTCTGGTTTTTTGTCTTCACGTATTCTAATGAAACGAGGAAACCGTAATGACACTCCTTTAGACGCTTCAGAAATCTACAAAAATTATACATTTCATGTTTTAATGATTAGATAATAGATTCATAAATTTTCTCGAATAAATATCATAATTACCTGTCCTATAGCTGCCTTATATATTGGAGAGATGCTAAGATCTGCTGCCTTAACTTCCCAAACTTGACAAGGTTCAAACCAAACATCAGGTTTAGTTCCCTTGTCATAATTGAAATAACTTTTAGGTTCGGACGTTTCCTTTTCTTTTAGGTAATTAAAATGCGTCTCTAGATCGGAATCAGAAAATCCGGTACCAATCTTACAGATAGTCTGGTATTCTTCATGCTCTGGATCATAACAAGCGAGAAGAAATGCGCCATATACATTCGTACGTTTTCCGCGCCCGTAAAATGCACCCACTACAACCAAATCTAACGAATCTCCTACGCCGCTAAGATAGTCTTTTTTTAACTAAAAGAACATAACAACATGTGAGATAAAAAAGATACTTTCTCTTCTTTAAATATATCAGATAAGAAAGTTCACCTTTAACCAATTTCTTGACCTCTTCGAGGGTTCGTAAGTTGACTCTAGACCATCAAGTATTTTCACCATTAACCCTTCACAATTAGCTTTAATACTTTCATCTAAGTAAGATTGGATTTCCTCTATATTTGTAGCATTTATATTTTGTACAAAGGAAAATTCATCCTCAATTTCTTGAAAAGAATCATTCATAAGTTTACGTCTTTCTTCAAGAGATTTCTTGAGAAGAGACTACATACAAATAAAATTGTTAATTATTTCTATACATTTAAGCTGTAACTAAAAACAATTTAAATAATTTCCTAACCTCTCCATTCAAGTATAATAAGTCAAATGCAAAAAGGCACACTGAAACCTTTATTTCAGCCTCTTTAACATCCTTCCTTTTACGCGTACTTAATACTTGAAAAGGAAGAAGAATATGCTTTTCTAAATCCCACGCTACAACTTCACAATCAAGCACATATGATTTGGTATTAGTTTTTGCAGCCTATGAAATAATGATAAAAAGAATTTGAAGATTATTCGTTAAATCAATTAAATTTTAATGATTAATCTTTAATAACTCACCTTTGATATTCTTTCAATTATATCCGGATATTTAACAGTATTGTCTTCTAAATTACGACTAAAAATCTTGGTTGTCCCATCTTCAAGCCTATGAATCTAAATAGACAAATCACATTTCTGAGATAAGCAGTGAGATACTTTATAGATTCTTTAATATTATGATATACCTGCCCACGTTCACCGTCATATTTAAACTCGCAAGTAAACTTATGTCCTTCTACACTGTCAAGTACATCGGTAATACTTTTTGTTGGGTGAGCCAACATAGGTTTTAGTGGGATACCTTTATAATAATTAATAAATTATTTACGTTGCCGTGAACTCTTTACGGACATTATTAAAGAATTTCTTTATTACCAGGTGTCAACTTGCAATGTTCTCTTAAATTTTTAATGCCACCTTTTAACAAAGCGGGAACAATTTTATCATATGATGGAAGTTCACTATGAATATAATACAAAATATTAGTATTTATACGAACAAAAATTAAAGAAATTAATAATGATATTAACCTGTATACAGATTTAATAGTTTTTATTGCATTGTTTAATTCTTCAGTTTTTTTAGCTTTTGCTAGTTTCTCATACTCTATTTATTAAGGGACATAACAATTAATTTTGAATGGCAATGACAATAAAAACAATAATAATGACCTTTATCTGTCATAACAAACGCTTGTGCCAAACAAATCAAAACGGTTTGCTCGGCTAGCCCAATACGAAGTTTTCCTTCGAGAGATCTATTTTAAATATAACATTGTTTTAATTTTGTTACGAACTAATTACGAAAATTTCACGCAAATAAACTACCTAGTCAAGAATTTCGGCTCTTCATCTCTACAAGATATAAGCAAATTTTGTATTTCCTTAATTTTTAAATCTTGCGACTTTGAAAGCATAAAAAAAAAAATGTTATAAATTAAATTATATTATATTATATAAAAACAGTGAAAATTAAAATTACACTGTGTCCAGTCAAAGAGGCAATCTTTTTCATTGAATTAAAGACTTTAGGGACCGTTAATAGTTTATCCCGATTCCCAAACATACTCGATATACTCTTCTGACTGTTTTTACTATCCTAAGAATGTAAAAAAATTAAATTAAGTATAGAAAATTATAAATTTATTATCGAACTATTATTACAATCTTACCCTAGCGACTTTGCCCAGATCACCCACTTTTGCTAATTCATTTTTAACCTTTTGTGTTGTCCTACCTGTTACTTCAGCAATTGCTTTTATCAACAAAGATTCTCCGATGCCCAGTTCCACGTTTTCGTATTCAGGACAAACCTGGTAAAGCAATTGATAAACTATCAGTATGAATTATAAAGCCAGAAAGTAGGTTTGCTTAATTCTTACCCTATTTAAACAGAGATATAAAGTTTCCAATAAATTTCCTGGACTGAGTTCGATTGTATGTTTGAAAAATGAAGTTAAATATTCTTGAATTTCTAGGCGTTTCGTGGTTGATTCGATAGCTTCGAAAGTTTTGCATAATCCTGCATATGGGACACTAAATTAATTGTTAAATATGACCAATATATGTATATAATAAACAATTAAACATACTTACGGTTCGCCTTTTTTCCAATCAGCACCAACATCCTTCATGTCCTTTTGGTCAACCCTAAACAATTTTTACGTTAAAATTTAATTGCGTATAATGAATAGACAAAATAAATAAATTTATTACAATTTTTTTGTCGAGACTAGTTCCGATTCCAAATTATCATCTTGTTCTTCCTTTACGTTGTCTTCATCCATTTCCGATGAAGATTCGGTTTTATTCTCCCGTTCATTTTCCCTCTCAAACTTTATCTTTTTCGTGTCAACTTCACTATTTGATTCCTCATCCGAGGATTCAATGATACGTTTTTTTACTTTTCCACCAGACTTCTTATCCTTTTTTTCCTGAGGTATGGAGTCATTTAACTTTGGTTTTCCAAAAAAGTTGCTTCGATAGGAAAGTAAGACGCGTCGCGTTAGTTTTTTTAAAGCAACGTGTACATATATTTATAAACATGTACCTGACTTTAGTTTGTTTCGACATTTCGTAAAGTAAAAATATTCCTTCTCTGTATTTAAGAGCTCTTGAATTTTCTAGTCTCGAAAGAGGTTTAGCTGTAACTATATCATATAAGCTTGAAGGTTTAAAAAAGTAAACACGATTTTTTTGATTTTTGTTTATTATCATGTGACCGAATTTTCTGCGTAACCACATGGTTACGTATTTTTATCTCATTACAAAACTGGGTACTTTTCGTAATATTAAAAACATACAGTATTTAAAAATTTTTAAAGGTCATATGATTCGTAATTCTGGCTGAAATTATGGCTTACAATTTTTTATTATTATTACAAAATATTGTTTACATAATTATTACAAAAATTCCTTACTTTACTAATTACAATTATAAATAAAGTTAGCTTAATATATTAGTCAAAAGATTTGTATATGATTCACTAGAGATCAGCACAAAATTGTATAGTTTGTTGCGTTGTAGTTGTAAAATTATATTAAAATTTGGATTTAGAATACCTAATCCTATTCCTAATCGTATTCCTAGTCGATTTGGTAATAGAGTGGCGGCCCTCCATGCGATTTCATGTCATTTATATTAAATTATAAAAATTTCGTAATACATTATAAACTATTTTCTATTCTTTAAACATATTTTAGTAGCATTATTGATCGTCTTACTAATCATGAAGATTGACTGCAGGGAGGAGCGAGTGGAGCAAGTGAGCGTAGTAATCCAAACCTCTAATATACTCAGGCAATCATATTTATTGCATCTACTATATCTACTACTTCTCATGAGCGAAAAAACGAACAAATTCGAGATATTGGAGCTTCAAGAAATGATAAAAAAAAAAAGGTAAAAGATTACGCAATGTTGTTAAATGTTTGATTATGAAGATCATGTAGAGGTTTAAAAACATGATACAATGGATTTCTCACATGAAAAACACGTAATATTTTCTAATATCTCACGTGTACAATATCTTTCGCGTTTACCTACTTTATTATCGGGCGATACTTCCCACGAGGAGTCCCGCCATGAGTTTTTCAAAATTTGGCGGTTTTGGTTTACGGTTTTATTGAATTGCTTTCGGCTCTAGTATATAGTGTCTTTTGTAATTTGTACCGTAACCTCGTTCACGTGGAATATCTTACCCTGATAAGTCAGTGTTTATAGTTGACTTTAACGTTACCTTAGAGTACTAGAGATTGCTACCATCAACCTACACACATAATATTTTTTAAATATAATATTTATGCAGGAATATGGTCGTTAGAAGATAACTAAATAATAATAATAATAATGCGAGTAGCACAAATAATAATAACGAAAATAATATGGGGTAGCGGAGGAACTGCCAGTATATGAGTTAGGGCTCGGCAGGCTTATCAAGCAGGCATGTTCTTTTATGCCTTTCCTCCCTTGAAACATCCTGCTACTCTATCATTTTTTACTTTCACTTTGCCGGCCCTTTCTCATATATTATTTTACGAAAAAATTTAATAAAGATTTCATTTTGAATTTTTTTAAACGTGTTGTGTGTTTTATGTGTATATACATTCTCAAATATAAATTTTGTGTTCGCATATTAATGAAAAATAATTGCTTTGATAGCATCATAACATTTCATTTGCTTCTCTAATATTTTTCACATCTGAATATCTGAATTAATAAAGTTTATGTATATGTTGTATGTGAACGAAATATGTATTAGATGATATAATAGGATATTATTTAATTTGTGTGTAATATTAGATCAAAAAATAGATGTATTTTATCAACTGAGTTCGGAATTACAAACGCGTCCTCAACTAATAATCAGTGAAGTTTAACAAAGTTTATTCAGCTTACAACGCGTTCACATGATTAATGAAAGTTTATTCCGAATCATATATATACAGTGCGGTACCTCTATAATAGGTACCCCTTATATCTTGTGATCTAATGGTCAGAATTTTATGTAAAATTTTAAAATTAGACAGCCTTTAAAAAGCAATTTTTTTTGCTGACATAATACAAAATCACATGACTTAAAATAAATTTGATTGGCTAATGCAATACTTAATGTCAATTAGAATTATGCACAATTTTTTATATATAATTTATTATTTATTATAATTATTTAAAAGTAATTTGATTAAGTATATCATTAGGAACTTTTCTATAGAATTTATATTTTTTTAGCAAGTTTTTCTGTAATTCCTTTTGAGAAATAGACATAATATAATTTGTAATAAAGAAAAACTACCAAAATTTTTTTTAATTTTTTTTCAAAATTTTTTTAACAAAGCATAGATAAATTTATAAGCTAAAATGATTTATTTTAATAAGCACTATCAAATGATTATTTTTTTTTTATGTTATATAAAATCACTTATTCTCAAATTTTTCCTATCATAATAACTTACCAACTTATGTAACACTAGCAAAATTTATTATTTTTTAATCTAATCCAATAAGTTTAAAAGCTCTTAATATGCTTTATTAAAATTATCAGTTAGAATTTTAAAATATTATTTTTTGCTAATGTGACATCTTTTTGAAAATGTCACATTATGATTATAAAATTGGGTTGGTTATAAAGGTACTGCACTGTATCTCATATAAACCTCTCTTTCATTTATTCTTACTTCTTTCAAAACAAATCTTTAACAATATGTCAGACATTTATGAAATCATCAATAGCCTTCCTGAAAAAGAAGAAACTAAAAAACTACAAATCCATTTGATTAATCATTTAGAAAAAGAAGAAATGTTGCTTCTAGCTCTTAGAAGTCACAAAAATTCTAAAGATAAACAGAGCCTTTTGAAATATTTTCTTGAGACTATGTCCAGTATATTATTAAATAATTTATAAAAAGCCGTTATACTGTTTGTGATGCTACAACTAAACTTTTTTTTTATTCTTTATCATGTGCCTGTGAATTTAGACGAATATAAAGGTAAGCCTTTGCGCCATTGGTTATGATATTGTCCTGTCCAGTAACTAACTTTGCCTTTTTTTGGTAATTTAGATGAACATCCAGGTAACCTTTGTGTTGTAATGATTGGTCAACTTGAACGTGCCCTATGAAAAAAAATCATCCAATTTTTGTACAATATTTGTTCAAGTCCGTGTGGAAATTGTACAATTATTGCAGATTTTTGGATAAAAATAGCTATGAAGTTTTTCAAAGCATATTAAAAGTATGCAATTTTTGTACAACTTAAATTTAAGATATAGAAAATGTTCAATTTTTGTGTGATTTTTATACAACTTAAATTTAGGATACAGAAAACATTCAATTTTTGTACAATAAAAATTGTGATTATTGTACAACTTGAAAATAGACTTAAATTTAGGATACAGAAAGCAATTTTTGGGTAATCCTACTATACTACTTTCCATCTTACCTGTATGGTTACATTTGACCACTTTTAGGGTCGAATAGACCACTTTTAACCATTACAAATAGATTTTCCTAAGTAAAGTGATTTATGCAGTAAGGTTACATAAAATTCAACTGCATATTTGCTTATAAATGGGCATCTTCTGGACCCATTGGTGAAATTTTTGTATCATCTTGTAACTAAAAAAAAGTCAAAAACTTTTTATTAGGTTACACAATTAGTTCTGACCGGAATTATAATTTGGCCAGAATTATGCGGTAAAAATCAACTCTTAAAATTATATATGTTGATCACGTGATCTGATCGTCAAAATAAATATGACGACGCGAAATGTTTTTGTTTATGTTTTTTTAACCTTTTAACTTTTCTTCAACTTTCTTTTAAAATATCAGGTAAGAAAAACTTGTGTTCTTTATCTTTTTATTTTCCTAACTTTTTACATTTTAATGTTACTAACTTGCTTTCTTCACTAACTTCATACTTTTTTTTTATTACTAATACTAATAATTTACTTTTTAACACTACTAATTTGCGTTCTTCACTAACTTCATACTTTTTTATTACTAACACTAATAATTTACTTTTTAACACTACTAATTTGCTTTCTTCACTAACTTCATACTTTTTTATTACTAACACTAATAATTTACTTTTTAACACTACTAATTTGCTTTCTTCACTAACTTCATACTTTTTTATTACTAACACTAATAATTTACTTTTTAACACTACTAATTTGCTTTCTTCACTAACTTCATACTTTTTTATTACTAACACTAATAATTTACTTTTTAACACTACTAATTTGCTTTCTTCACTAACTTCATACTTTTTTATTACTAACACTAATAATTTACTTTTTAACACTACTAATTTGCTTTCTTCACTAACTTCATACTTTTTTATTACTAACACTAATAATTTACTTTTTAACACTACTAATTTGCTTTCTTCACTAACTTCATACTTTTTTATTTAATACTAATAATTTACTTACACTAATAATTTACTTTCTTCTTTGATACTACTAATTTACTTTCATGTTACTAACATACTTTATTTTATTTTATTTTCTTACAAATTTTTATATTTATGATTATATCAAATTTAGTATTTTATTTATGAAATATTGTGTATATTTTTTATATTTTAAGTTAATAAAAATTCATAATTTCACTTTATAAATTGCCTGTTATTACTGTAAAATTTAACCTATAATTCCTAAAATATGGCCTAAAATTTGGCTCAAAAATCACACAATAATTGTATAAATTCAGGTCAAAAATAGGATAATTATTGAATGAATTACCATGCAATAATTGTGTGATTTATTGCAATTTTTAGCACAATTATTGTATGGTCAAATATACAGAAATTGTAGTGAATTTAATTGAATGATTTTTCAACAAAAATCACACAGACTTTTTTTATAGGGGTGACGTGCTAATATTTCTTTTATCAAACAGATTTTAGTTTTAATCAAAGATTGGTAGAAAGGTTAGATAAAATAAAAGACAAGCTCAAGAAAGGCTGTTCTATGGTACTTTCCGTGATAGATTTCGAGAATATGCAACAACTTCAGGAGCACCTGAATCTTAAATTTAAATATATTGAACACATTAAATTGTTGCTGACAAGAATGCAGGTAATAATACAGTCTTATGAAAAGTTTATATGGTTTAAACTAGCCAAAGACGCATAATCAAATAAATATATGGAATATATAGCAAAAGCTATAAAATTGCCAAATAGATTTGAATGGTTTAACACCAAGAAAAATAAAAAATTTCTTAATACAATAAACCAAAAGTGGCTTTCCTTCAACTTAAAAGGTATAACAGATATTGCAATATTGACAAAGGGTTATTCAGGATGTATGGGCCAGGAACGTATTAGGTGCAGGTCTGTAATAGAATTAAAAAAACCAGAAAACATTGATGCAAAAGCACAATTCCAGACACAGGCAGAACTAATTACTGCAAATTATTAGTTTAATCATAAAGTTTTGGCAGTTTTAATCGATCTAAATGATTATTGAGAAATTTTCTAGAAATGTAGTAATAAAATATGTTCGTGAAAACCTACTTTTTATCAACATGTACTCCAAATACTTCAAATATACGTTGATGCAGAATCTAGTAAAAGAAAATCTAATGAATTTGATTGAAAATTACCCATTTGTTCTTAAAAAGAAAAAAATTAACTACAACTAATATAGAAATTAGTGATGTTGCAAATTTCAACGACCTCGTGGATGAGATGCCTGAAGTAGAAATAAAATCAAAGATGATCGAACAATATTTACAAGAGGTCTTTGTGAATTCAACATCATACAAACAGTTTGAAATGAGTAATGTGACATCTTATTATGTTTGATCATTAAAAGTTAATTATTGAAATATTCTTTACGATAATTGGAAAAATAATATTACAGATAATTAATATAGTTAATGCTTATGTGATGTTAACTTTATATAATTATTGACTTTTACTGTATAAAAAACTTCATAATCTGTTATTTGGCTTTTCTGTACTATAATAAGAAAAATAATATCATATGTATTGCTTTTAATTCTTTAATCGTGGCTCTACTGACTTTATTAATATACTGTACTGCATTTTAGCTGGTTTGGATGTAACAACTGATTACATAGGTATATATTTTTTAAAAGTTGTATATACTATTTTTTCTCTGAATAAATGTGAGAAAAAATAATACACCCTCAAAGAAAATTAAACACCCTATTTTTTGTTATAGGAAGCTTAATTTCAGGTAATATTATTTTAAAATCTGAAAATTCTATCAATAATAACTTGTAATCTAGCACAATATTAGGGTATTTTATTTTAATAATGTGGGGCGCTTATACAGTAGTTAGAATTTCATGTGGCTATTTGATCACATCGTATTATTGATAAATACTATTCTTACAATCGACCGTACATTCGCTCACGTGATTATTTCTTTTGGTGATCCCAAAAATTTTTAAATATTCATGTGATTAATAAAAGGATGATCATACTTACATCATAATTTTCAAGTCCCATGAGGTCACGATGATGCATAATTTTTAACTTTTGAGGGCTGAGATAAATAACATAACACGACCAACACGATATATAAACACGAGGAAAACTCAGTTGTAAAATAAAAAAAATAAAAATTTACAATTTCGAAATATAAAAGACTTTTCTTCCATTTTAAAAATCGATATGGCTACAACATACGCTGAAGTAGTTAAAGAAAATTTGGAAGCAGATGTTACAAACAATGCTCAACACCATACCACTGCAACTTCTCAAGATAAATACTCGGATAATTATGATGCAGCTGTATACGATAGAGTAGAAGGTAGTAGAAAGATAGTAGAAAATATTAAAAATATGAGTATAGATCGTGATATTAAGGAGCAAAAAAAAGCAAGAGGCACTAATGAAGTTACTAAAAGGTCAAAGGGTGTTGTAATTTTTACCGTTGCTCTTGATATTGCCTTGGCTGGTTTATTGGTTGGAACAGTATATAAAAAGCCTACTATTAATAAAGTAAAATTGGGGGTTGGAACCGTTGGATTATCTTTATTTTATGGATTTCAATGGTAAGAATTTGTTATTATTTGAACATAATAATATTCATGCGTTTATCGGTACTTTTTATTAACTTGCTTTTTAAATATTTATAGGTTTTTTTATCAGAAACATAATTAAATATAATAATACCTTTTAAATTTATTACACTTACATTTAATAATAATAAAATTTTATTTCACGAAAGAATATTGTTAATAAGAATATTTATAGTTATTAAAAAAAAATGTGTAGTTTTTACATTTAAATATTTTTATATAACCGTTCTATAAAATATTTGCATCATAATGAGGGCACATGGTAATGAAGTTCACGTAGTTATATAAAGTTGATGTAAAAATAAGGTTCTCAATGAATTTACGAAGTAAATTTTTACGTGATCTAATTACTCTCAATCTCCTTGATATTTTCTTGTTATTATGACCTTCATACCATAATACTCCATTGATGATAACTACTACCAATTAAATACTTCGTAAATACAAGATCTAGCAATAATTTTTACTCGAGTTTATAGAAACACACATTCCTCAAAATTTTCTTGAGACAACTGCAATGACAATTTGTAATTTTTTTGAACGGTTTCACAGTTGTGCAAAGAATTCTTTTAAATTTAATTATTTTTCCGTTCTAATATGATTTCGGAGGACGTGCGAACGTTGAACGAGAGCGAAATTTTATAAAATTATACATTATTTGATTAAACGCGAAATATTTTAATCTAAGGAAATTTGTATTGCTATCTATCTATATATGCTTGTACCATTTTTAAATAATGCTCTATAGCAAACTAAACCAGACAAATTAAAATAATCTAAATAATCTTTAACCTATATATTTTAAATATATGATATTCGACTAGTTTTTTTTGCCATTAATTGCAGAAATTTTTTTTAAATAGAAAGTAAATTCAGGTATAAGGTGTATTATAATTTATTAAATTGGCTTTATAATCCAACTATAAATAGCAATTTAAGGTATATGATCTATTTGGTAAATTTCCACGAGTCAAATGTGGCGTCAAATTAAAAATTAAGGGATGAAAATCGAGAATTTTCATCTTCATTATTATCGATTCTTCTTTTTACTCCCCTCTCTTATTTATTATTTATAATTGCTTTTATCGTGAATTAAGCATAACGTGGCCTGAGAAGGACTTATTTTGTGTTTATTATTATTTATTCGAGTTACGACAGAAAGATAAAGTATGTTGTATTGTTATTTGATTTATTAAATTAGCAATCAATGGACTTTTAAGTTTCAGTTTCGTTCACTTTGGATCACGAAAACAAGCATCCGAATTTTTATCATAGTACGAAGATAAATCTTATTTCTATGATTATATTATGAAAGAGAACAGATAAGGTTTTACGTTGCGACTTATTTCAGTACTGATCGAAAAAAACTATTTCGTGTATTAGGATAATAAAACTAATAAGAAATCTTTTAATTCATCAAAAATTGATATTAAGAATGCTACACACGAAATATTACTTTTTTGTCCTGTTGCACAACTAGTTCTTCCATAATAATATAAAGTTCGAAATGACCTGACTAAAATCCAAGAATACCTTATAAGGTTATCAGAAGTCGAGAAACACCTCGTGTGTTTGGTAAATGAATGATCCATAAAATTCAGAAGAATCATACCTCGTGTATGTCTCTAGGACTAATGGTTAAAACGGATCCTTTCGTACCAGTATTATCGTAGTGATTCTAGATAGTGTTATTTTCACTACATGAAAGGTGAAACGGGGCACTCAAATATTAGCTTTCGCGATAAAAAATAATTGGTAGTAGAACTAATGATTTCTTTCGGTGCTCGTTGTTCCGAAGATAATATGCTTTTCAGATGATCCTATCAAAAAATATACTATGATATTGCCACCTGTGGCTGTTGGTACAACGCTTATGAAAGGATTAGGATTATTAGATGGGACTCAAACCATTGCTCAAATTATCTTATGACCAGGCAGCGACATGGAATCTTGGACAAGGTACTTATTATATAATCTTTCTTGTATATAATAGGAATTTTACATGTAGTTCTAATTGCATTTAATCTTTATTATTAATTTAAGGCTAAAGAGTTATTAAAAGAATCGCGTAACAAACCAAAATGACATTTATAGTTAAAAAATGTTCGCCCAAATATCAAATCATTGGAAAAAATGAACATTAGTATTATGGCACTAGAAAATAGAAGAACGATGCCAAAAACATGGCGAGACTTCAATAGTAATACAAATGTATTGGGAATAATAATAATTAAACTTTATACTTGAAATAAAAATAAAATACATTTACATTTCTTTTAAATTGGAATCATAATTGCAAATTATTTATTATAAATGTTAATATAATTTTGGGCGGTATTACTTGGTGACCACTATCACGAAATTTTTGATTGGCGGTGTTAACAAGTTTGTTAGAATCTATTGATCACATTGATAGTTTTATTAATAAGGTATATATAATATATATAATATAAATTAGGACGAAATTTAATTCCGGCCAAAATTAATCACCCCGAAATGGTTGTTACACAGCTTATTACTGTACATGTCGAATTATTGGACCAATTAAAACTTGTTTATTCGCCTGTCAGAATAAAAACCTTACGTCATACGCGTGCGATCAACAGTCTTTTTTTAAGTATTATAATCTTTTGTTGACTTTGCTCTAAACTGATTTTTGATAACAAAAACTGAAAACAAAACCATGGACGCAACTAATTTTAATAACGACAAACCAGAAGTGGGCGAAAAGTTTGAATATATGAAAGATGTTAGTCGGGTCATGTCAGCGTCAAGTACTCAATCGCCACAAACTAAAATTTATTTAGCTAAAAATAGTGGTGGAATACAAGTAATTATTATAAATTTGAAGTGGATTATCATATTTATCATATTTATCATATTATAATTTTAACGCGTTTATAATAATAATATATCTCGTCTATTAGAAACGTGCGTTCGTACCAACAGTGCTAAAGCCTTTCAAATTTTATACTGAATCGCGGGACAATAACTCTCCTAATAAAGAAAATTCCCCAAACCCACCATTTATTCCATTAGCTTACGGTGTGCAACAATTTTTAGAAAGTCCAACCAGATTCGATGCTAAGGTATCGGATGATAATACGTTTCAAAAATCAACATCGTGATTTTGAAGCTAACAATCGCAATTTTTTCCTTTAAAAAAAAAGACTGGTAAATTACGTTCAAATACCTTAACTGTACCGAAATCTCCGTACTTGCGCACTAAATATAGGTCTAAACCCACTACGTAAGTTATATGTCTCTAATTAATTGAAGTTCAAATAAATATAATTAATACGAAAATTATTCATAAGCCATTATTAATGTATTTGATTATTGTTCAGTATATTACCTTCACCAACACATGTCATTAAAGCTAATCCCGTACCCGATTATAAAGAACCATATAGACCGGTGATTGAACACCGGCTAATCGAATTACCAATGTTTAGTTTACCTGGTGAGGAAATTTCCAAGAGGAAATCACAAGAAATTGAAGAAAGGATTCGTCAAGAAAATGAGAAAATGGAAAAGATGCGTGAATTTAAAGCGCAACCACTTCCTACTGGTTTCCATAATGTATGTAACCATTAAATGTATTGTACGTACTAGTAAAAATAAATAAATAATTATTCTTCTCTTTTGTTCTAATGTTCCAAGTGTCCTACACGTCCTTATTATTCACCAACTCACCCAAAACCATTTGCATTGTTAACTAATGATCGTGGAGAAAAATATCAAAGAGAATTTTATGAGAAAGTGAGAAAAGAGCAGGAATATTACAAAGAAAATCGATTCCATGCACAACCTCTCCCCAATTTTAAGCGTGAAGTTCCTAGAAAACCTGAATGTCCTCCACCAACAGAACCAATTGGTTTTTTCTTTTTTACTGATACTCGTATGGAAGAACGTCATATTTTTGACGAACACAGAAGATTCCGAGAGAAGGAAGCTGAGGAACAAAGATTGGCAGAGATCAGGGAGAAAGAGGTAAGATATAAGAACTAATTCATATTATCGATCTTTTTTCGATATTTAACTTTTTATGCATTTAAGATACGCAATGCGGAGGAAATCCGTCGGTTAAGAGCAAATTTAGTTCATCACGCTCAACCTATTCGATATTATACACCGATAAATATAAAACCATCGAATAAAAAACCGACAAGACCAATTTCTCCCATGATCGGTGAAAAACGACGTAAATATAGAGATTCACTATCTAAGCACGTCTGAAATCTGTGTCCGCATATGCTGCCACAATCCACAGATCTTGACTTGTGTGACGTGATTTTTTAGTTCTTTGATTTTTTTCCTCTTAATTCTTATTTTTATTATCTTATTCTATTCATTATCTATATTTATGTTTTTGTTTTTCTAGTTTCTGTCTCTTTAATCTTTTTCATCTTTACAATTCCTCTGCTTTTTATTACTCTTTTTTAAATCTGCTTCCAATCGCATATTATATTAATTGTTTCTAATTTTTAATAATATCAATTATTAAAGTGTATATACTGTAAAATTGTTATAATGCACATAATTTTAGTAATATTTAATAAATCCATTTTATTTTAATTATGCAATATTTATTAAAATCTTAGTGCATTATTTTTGCAAGTTTCGCACTATTATTATCGCAATTTTCGAATTACTGAGAACAGTTTAAAGAGGAAAATAAAATAAAAAAAATGATTTTTTTCAAAAACCCACGAAAACAGTAAATTTTATTGCATTTTTAGATAGAGAATGTGCGATTATAACCTGAAAATGTTAATTTTAGAGCAGAAAACTTAATTTTTCGGTAAGTTTGCATATAAGCGACTTTTGAGATTTTGTGTAACCTAAAAAGTTCTCTATAAGTAAACTTACCTAAGAGTTGGATTTTTCGTCCTAAAATCAAGGGTTTCATGTTATAATCGCACCTTCTCCTTCCAAAAATACAATAAAATTTACTGTTTTCGTGGGTTTTTGAAAAAAATCATTTTTTTTTATTTTATTTTCCTATTTAAACTGTTTTCAGTAATTCGAAAATTGCGATAAATTTAATGTTTTATTTTTTTTAAAAAAAAAATACATTTACCATCAGGTATATCCACTTTTGGTATTAATTGTATCTTGAATCCTTTCTAGCATTGTCTCTATTATTTTGGTACATATCTTTAATGGTGCTTTATTTCAAATTTCAGAAACATATTTTTATAATTCATCCTTTTTTCTAAAATATGCAGATTTATGATAAAATGAAACTATATCTTCCAGTCAAAGAGTGTGTATTTATGCAAAATGACTTATTATTCAAAGGAATAGATAAATTAAATAGATACATCTAGTAATGCTGATGCAATCTCTAGGCTAACTGATGCACAAATCCAAAATATAATAAATCTTTATACTGATGAACTAACTAATCTCAAAAATTGATCAGTGTGAATAATTGGCAATTTTAATTTTCTTTTTGAATAAATATAAGAAAAAAGGAACATTAAATACTTTGTAAAAAAAAAGTTAAGCAAAAAAAAAAATATTATTTATATTCAATTGCACTAACCAATAAAAGTAAGCATTTTACCTGACAAAATAATTCTTTTTCTACAATATTAATAAAGAATTGCAGTATTAATAGCATAGCGGACATGCTTATATCACCATGCCGATCATTTTGCTGATCATATATATTTTTCAAACTTCAATAAACAATATCTCGAAATTCAGTCATCCAATTTTGATAAAGTTGTGCTCATTGGATTCGCCTCATCGAGACGAGTCAAATGGTGGTATTTTCATTAATTTTGGATCACTAAATGCCAAGATATTCACGATTTTGTATTTCTATTATGAATTATCACATTATATAAAATCGGCCGATCTGGCTTGGCTACACCGATATACATTCGGCCGGGCTATAAAAATTGATAAATTTAAGTTTTTTAACGATATAGAATAAAATAATAAACCTTTTTCATTACTAAAATTGATATTTATTAATTTTATATATAAATTTTTAGTATTTAATTAGGAAATTTACTATTTTTAGACTTTAAAACTTTGTACAAAGCCACAGACTTTTAAGCCAACTCTGAAATTTTCATCATATATTTGTTAACCATTTAGAAATATATGGTGAAAAAATGGCATCCTAATTCGCTTGAAACCAAAAGTTACCTATATACTATATTTAGTCAATTTTAATAAATTTGCAATTTTTAGACTTCAAAGTTTTGTACAAAGCCACAGACTTTTAAGCCAACTTTGAAATTTTCATTATATATTTGTTAACCATTTAGAAATATATGGTAAAAAAATGGCATCCTAATTCGCTTGAAACCAAAACTTACTTATATGTTATATTTAGTCAATTTTAAGTAATATATGATTATTTGATTTTAAAACTTTATATATTTTCTAAAATTTATTTTTGTTTACTATTTTAAAAATATAAGATAAAATTAATTATTTTAAAAGTTTTCTATGTGTTATATTTAATCAGTTTTTTTATAAATAGACAAAAAAATTGCTTTAGCAAAATTAGAAAATCCAATCCAATTTAAAATAAAAAAACAATATTTTTTTAAATACTTTCATAATTTTTAATTATAAAAAATGGATAACACTTCTACTTTTTCAAATATTTGCAATTTTGATTCCATTGAATGTAATGGAAGAATAAAGCCAATCACTTATAACACTAAAATACCAAAATCTACTGAATTAATTATTTCAGTTGGAATGTATTTATGCCAAATACATTACAATCAATTTATTTTAAATGAAACTAGAAATATTAATTATAATAAGAGTTGTGAGCATCCAAAACATGATGAATATAAAAATCAATCAAAAAATACAAAAAAAAAATCAAGCAAACTTAATCTTAAAAAGGTTCCAAAAAGATTAATTGAAGTTTTAGAATTAAATGAATCTTCAGAAATTTGTAGTATGTGTAGAAATAAAACTGATAAAGATTCTGAATATTTACAAAATGAAAAATACAAAGCACCTATTCCAATTAAAAAAAACAATTTAAATGATAATGATAATTTACAAGATGAATCAATAGAAACTATACAAGATGAACTAATAGAGGCTATACAAGATGAATCAATAGAAGTTATACAAAATGAATCAATAGAAGTTATACAAAATGAATCAATAGAAACTAAACAAATAAAAACTTGTCAACATCCAAAACATGATGAATACTTAAATCAATCAAAAAATACAAGCAAACAATTTAGTCTTCAAAAAGTTCCAACAAGATTAATTAAAGTATTAGAATTAGATGAACTTGCAATGATTTGCAGTATGTGTAAAAAAAAAACTGATAAAGATTCTCAATATTTACAAACTGAAGAATATAAAGCACCAATTTCTAGAAAAAATAATAATGACAATATATCAAAAATAGGAAATCATACTTATTTATTTAGAAAAGATATCTTATATACTGGAGAAGAATTACAACAATTTGAATCAGATTATCAAGAAATTATGACACAATTAAAAATTTCAAGTGAAATTAAATTAAGTAGTAAAATAATAAAAATGTCTAATATTCTTTATAATAATCAACATAGATTAAATCTTAAACCTATTTATGATCCAATAGCTTTTAAAACTATGTTAGAAACAGCTGATAAAGATTTAATTGGATTTTTTGATGAATTATATGCTGGAACTAATCCTAATACTAAATCTGAAACAACAAATAATAACAACAAAAAAAAATTAGTTTCTTTATGTTATTTTTTAGCTAGCATTAATAATAAATATATTAATGGAATTAAAGTTGATATTGGATCATACTTGGAAACTTCTGGAGCTTCTTCTTCTTCTATTGATACATTGGCAAATATAGGAGTTTCAGTAACAAGAAAAACAGTAAATCGTAAAAAAAATTTTATTTCAAATGAACACCAACAAACTGTAGATAATTATTGTTTACAAAATATAGAAAATATGTTTATTCTTAATATAGATGATTACCATAATATTCATAGGCGTAATCAACCAACATTGTTACAAACTCACAATATTTATCATTTTGTAACAATATTATTGAATACAAATACTAAAATTCCAAAAATACCATTTTATTCATTAAATAATTTTTCAATACATAATCCTAAAGGAATTGATTCTGGATTAATTATTAATAACATTAAAAATAATTTTATGAATCAATTAGGTAAAAGTTATTATATGCAAAAAGAATTATGGAAAAATTTTTTAATTGAAGATTCTTATGAAAATAGAGTTGAACTACTTAATATTCATAATTATGATGGTAGAATTCAAAATTACCATGAATTAAGATCAATGTCTAATAGCAAATTAGTAGACTTTATTTTGCATCCTTTACATAGTACTAAGGATTATATTGAATGTTTAGATTATGTATTTAAAGCATTTGAAAGATTAGAAAATATTGAAGAAAATTATTTAAATAATTTTATCATTCCTGTAATTGCTGATTGGCCAGGACAAGTAAATATAAGAAGAGCTATAACACTTAGAATTAAGAAAGGCATTAATTCTGGAGTTCCAGAGCAAGTGTTAAATTTAATTCCTATGATAGGTCCACTTCATGTCTCTTTAAACAGCAGAGAAATACTATTTCAAACATATCATTTCTTTTTTGAGATGCTATATCATAACTTATTTGGAGATAAAAAAATATTATCTCAAAAACCAAAACAAACAGTAATCAATCTTATTTTACATTTAACTTATCATGGATGGAAAAATATTCGTGATATTGTTACAAAAAGATTTGGAAATTTAAAAGATGCAGAATATCAAATGATGATAGATTTATTAGATAATTCTATTCCACTTACTTTGGATATATATGCAATACTTTTTAGAAGTGGATTTTTTGAAGGATATTTAGAAAGTACTGTAAAAATTTGGATATTATTTCAAAGATTGAGAAGACATAATTATAATAAAGCACCACTTATGTTTTTAAGTGATGTATTTTATTGGACTTCAAAAAATCATCCAATAATTAATATTTTAAAAAATAATTTACCAATTTTTAATGATTATTTTGTTGAAAATTTTCATAGCTCTTTAAGGCATCAAACAGCAGAATCAAATTCAGAGTTACAAATTATACAAAAAGCAAAAATTATTGATGCTGAAAGAAATAATAATCCTTTTAAAAATTCTTTTGTTAATTTGAGAAATCCAGCTAAGTCTCAAATTAAAGAATTAAAATCTTTAGAAAAAAAGGTTTCATTATTTTTATTCTCAATATTTGATAAGATTCATCAGAATATAGGAAATACAAAACAAATTAATAATGATAGATATCCAAAATTTTATCTTCCAAGTTTTGATATTGAAGTGGATGTAAAGGTACTTCCTTTAGGCTGGAATACACAAAAAATACCAGCAGATGATAAATTTTGTGATGCAAATAATTGTTTATTATCAAATAGTATAGATTTATCTAATGGAATTGTTTTACTTTGTGGACACAGTTTTCATAAAGAATGTTTAAGTACTTTATATGATGATAAATGTAATTTTTGTTTTGATTATTTATCATCTGGAATTGAGAAAAATATTAAGAGTTTGGATCAAAGATTGTCGACATCATTAAAAGAAAATGAAATCCCTTTATTTGAAAAGGAAAATAATAATGATGATGAAAATGATGAAGAAGAGAATATTGAAAACATATTAGAAAGAACAGAATGTGATGTAGAAAATCAATATGATATAATGTATCAACAATGGTTAAATTATAATGATATATAATTAGTATTAATATAATAATTTTTATTAAATTGCAAAAGTCACTTTATTGAAATTTTTTAATAATAAAAATTAATATTTTATTTTGATTAATGAAAATTAATGAATTATAATTGTATAATTACTCCAACTAATAAGATAAATTATATAATAAAATAATTAGAAGATTCCGAATGCAAATATCTCAAGATATATAACTCCAAATTTTGTAAAATAAAGATGATCGGATTCATCAAGTCCTAAGCTTTCTAAAAAGCTAAAAATCATAAAATTCTGATCACTGGATGCTGAGATAACTGAGATTAACTTTAAAAAAAATCTAATATTAAATGTGATATGATAAAATAGTGATCAACAAATGATCGGCAAATGATCGGCAAAATTGTGATAAAATAGGGATGTCCGCTATGCTAGTATTAATGTGGTAAATATACAGTATATAATAAAAAATTTAACAATATATATTATATATATAATTATAAAAAAAAGTATGAAAGTGATAACTTTGCAGAAGGTATTTGGTATCTGTAATTTGTAAAAAATTTAATTAGCAAAAACAATTTAATTATTTATATAGTAAAAAGATTATAAAATAGAAAATATACATTAATTTCTTGAATATCTAAAATTGAAATTATAAAATTAAAGTACTAGCTTTGCCATCTATAAATAAAAATATTTCTTCAAATTTTCCCTTATTTTTTTGACTTTTTAATTATATAATTATTATTTTTCTTATAATTACCTTAATCTTTGTAACTAACTTTAACATTTTTTTTTAATATTTATACATGTTTTTTTGATACTTATTATTCAACTTTAACATTTCTTTTTAATGTTTATTATTCATTTAAATAATATTAATTTTTAGTTGTGTTTGATCTTGTTTTAGTAAAAAAATATAATTTAAAAAAAAATACACTTCAGCAATATTTACTATTATTAATAATACAGCCAAATGATTTCAATTAAGATTGCTAACATTTTAAAAGACAAAATAGTTAATGAGAAAAAAATCTGATTTAAATAACTTATATTTAATATACAGTCAAAACTCATTATAGTGAATCTCATTATAATGAACATTAAGTAAAATTGCATTATAGTGGCCTATTAATATAAAAATAAATACATTACTAATGGATACAAGTTATTTAAAACAATATAAAGAAAATAATAATCAACTTATTTTAATACAAATTTTTTTGAAAAAGACTCAATTAAATAAATTATTATTAAATATCATATCTGAAATTCAATATTTTGGATTTATTACAACTTTTTTTAACTAATTAAAAAAATAATAAAAAAGTAGTTGTAAATGCAATATATAAGAAAAATTTAATTTTAAAATATTTTTTTCATTGTAATTTTACTAAATTTTATTATATTATTTATTTTAAATAAAATAGTAAATGTATTTGAATTTGAGTTGAACAAATTTATAGTTTATAGCTTATTTATTTTTAAATATTTAAAAAAAAGCGATAAAATATAAATAGCAGTTCTTGTTGAATTTTTTTAAAATTCCAAACAATATGAATTTATAAACCTTAAGTTTTTTCTAACTGATAAAAATTAGATCTAAATAAATGCTGTATAATAAGTTTAATCAAATATAAAAGTTCAATTATATTTTTGACATTTAAAGAAAGTAGTGAAAAAAAGGCTAACTAATAATATATTACTAAAAACAAATATTATAGTACTAGTTTTGCTAAATTAAGTATTAATTTTATTAATAAAAATAATTTTAAATAGCCAAAAAATATTATAGCTTATAGCTAAAAAATAGAAAAACTTTTAAATTTTAATTTGCAAAAAAATATATTATTAAAGTTAATTATAAAACATCTTCATTTTTATTCTTTAGTTTTAAATAATAATAATGAATATTTTTCAACTAAACAACAATTCTAGTATTAATTAATTGATTTAAAAAAAAAATCGTAATTTATTTATATATAATAAAATTTTTAAACATTCTTAATTATGAATTTTACCTTAAGTTTTGATAAATCTATTTTATAAGCAAGTGGAATCCCTATTCCATATTAATTAGTTTATGAGTAGTAACATTATTTAAAATACAATTTGAGGATTAGATTCAATTTTTTATTTGATTAAAAGTAATTCAAAGTAAATAAATTAAGATATTATTATCATCCTATTCTTATACAATAATTTAGTGAGAATCTATATCCTTTTATTAATTAAATTAATTAAAAATTCTTGTTATATCATTTGATAAAGACTTGTTATTAAGATAAAATTTTTAAATAAATTTATTATAAAGAATATGTCTTCTATTATTAAATTAGTAAATTTTTTGTATCTTTAAACTCAATTATACTAGAATTTAAAGTATAATTATGCTTAATGTTTCTCATGAATCAAGTCAAGTTGAGTTTTGAATTAATTTTTTATATGATAAAATTTATTTTACGCTAATTTTTATAATACTTTAACTATATTATTTATATTATGTGAATCTATGTGAGTCATTTTAAGTTGCATATGTATGCTTATTGTCCAGAGCGTAGCGAAAGACTATATATTGTATAGTACTAGATAAATTTGTAGTACCAGTTTAACCCATGTATTTTTCCTTTTTTCCATCTACGTCACTATAATTTAGCCCCTGCTTATTTCCTTTTATGTTTTGTATCACATTTTTTGTAATGCTTTATTTTTAGCAACATATTTTATGTAATGACTATTTGTATATGTATGTAAACGTATTAAGTAACAGACCCTCAACGGTTTTCGTTTTCCTAGTTTATAAATTTATTAATACTAAGAAAAACTACAAAATTTTTTGTTTTAAATATAATATATTAATTAAAAAAGAATACTGCATTTTTTTTTATATGGCTTGTATTCTTATCTGATATAGAATTATATACCTTACTATAATTGCAAATAATGCAAGATTCTTATAATAAAAAACTTTTTTCAGAATATAATAATAATAACTGAAATCATCATCATTATTTTAAAAATAACTGATTTATTTTTACTAAAAAATACTTTTTCTTGCATATTATTTCCAGTAAGTTAATAATAGAATCATTATATTTTTTATTTTTTATAATTAGTATTAATATAGAAATTAATGTTAATAATTACATTAATAAATAAAAATAATTTATAGTAAATTAATAAATATATATATATAATATATATTAATAAAATGTAAAATAAAGCAAAAGATAATTAATTTAAAAATAATATTTATTGTAAAATTGAAATAGTAAAGAAATAAAGAAAGAAAAATATGAAAAAATAAATAGATTACTATTATTTTTAATTATTTATTAAATTATTTCTATATAAAATTTATATTATTTTTTTATTTTTTTTTAAAGAAATATTGCTTGTACTTTATAATATTAATTGAGTAATAATCAATTAAAAAGAAAAATAAGCAGTATATTTTTCAAATTTAATTTATTAATTTTAATAAAAAAAATTACTATTAAAATGTCACATTAGTAATGCAAATTTTTATGTTTATCATTACCATTTTAAAAAAAGTAGCAATATATAAGCAGTTTGATCAACATGAATAATTTACAAAAAAGGAAAGTGGTAATGTATCACACAGATGATGAATAAATTTACTTTTATTTTTTAAATTAAATTAATATTTAATATTTTATTTTAAATCAAATTAATATTATTAATATTTTATTTTTAAATTAAACTAAATTATTATTTTTTTTTTTTTTTTTGATAATTGCAATATATTTACAAATTTATTAGTATNTTTATTATTTAATAATATTTTATTTTTAAATTAAATTTATTATTTAATAATATTTTATTTTTAAATTAAATTTATTATTTAATAATATTTTATTTTTAAATTAAATTTATTATTTAATAATATTTTATTTTTAAATTAAATTTATTATTTAATAATATTTTATTTTTAAATTAAATTTATTATTTAATAATATTTTATTTTTAAATTAAATTTATTATTTAATAATATTTTATTTTTAAATTAAATTTATTATTTAATAATATTTTATTTTTAAATTAAATTTATTATTTAATAATATTTTATTTTTAAATTAAATTTATTATTTAATAATATTTTATTTTTAAATTAAATTTATTATTTAATAATATTTTATTTTTAAATTAAATTTATTATTTAATAAGAATATTTTATTTTTAAATTAAATTTACTAATTTCTAATATTTTATTTTTAAATTAAATTTAATTTCTAATAATTTATTTTTAAATTAGATTTAATGTTTAATATTTTATTTTTAAATTATATTTAATATTTAATAATTTATTTTTAAATTAGATTTAATGTTTAATAATTTATTTTTAAATTAGATTTAATGTTTAATATTTTATTTTTAAATAAATTTAATGTTTTAAATTAAATTTAATATTTTTTTAAATAAGTTATTTATTGAACAATTAATTTTAGTATTTTTAATTTTAATTTTAGTAATATTTTAAATTAATTTGTTATTTCAAAAATTTTATAATAATTTTAAGATCTGAAATCTGAAATTGAAATATTTAGAAAATTAAATTTTAATTTCAAGTTATTTTTAATATTACTTTAAAATATTATTCAATTTTTATTAAATTGAAATTATAAATTTGACAAAAATCATGAATATTTTGAATAGAATTATAAATATTATGAATATTTTGAATAGAATTATGAATATTATGAATATTTTGAATAGGATTATAAATATTTTAAATATAATCATGAATATTTTAAATATAACCATGAATATTTTAAATATAATCATGAATATTTTAAATATAACCATGAATATTTTAAATATAATGAATATAATTATAAATAATTTGAATTGGATTATAAGTATTTTGAATAGGATTATGAGTATTTTGAATAGGATAATGAGTATTTTAATTAGGATAATGAGTATTTTGAATAGGATTATAAATATTTTAAATATAATTATGAGTATTTTAAATATAATTATAAATATTTTGAATAGGATTATGAATATTTGAATAGAATTATAAATATTTTAAAATTATTTTTAACTATTTAATGAATTTTAATTTATATATATATTATATATTATTTAAAATTTTATTTTACTTTACCATTTTTATTTTTTAATTTTTAATATTATTAATACTAATTTTTATAAATATATATATTATTAAAATAAATTAATCAATAAACAATCAATATTATTACTAGATTATTTATTTTTTTTTTTTTTGCTAACTGCAGTACATTTATAAATTTATTAGGATACTAGTAATATACAAATTGTAAAAAATTATATGCCTATTCTAATATTATTAACTTATAAATCACTTACATTCTGCTATGAAACCCATATATAATATACTATTAGGTAACTAATCAGATAGGTAATATTTGGAATGCACCATTGCCCTGATGTTATTATTTGATAGACCACAAGACTTATTTTAAATTATTTATTATCTAATTTATTATTTAATTTATTATAACTATTTTATTAATACTTTAAAAATTGCCAATTTTTTAAAAAATATCTTAAACTACATAAGTTATTAATACATTAGAATTTTAGGATTAAATAACATATAATTAAACAACTAACCAATTAATTTACAATAAAATTTATATTTTAACTAATAGATTTAATATTGTATTATTTATAATTGAAATTTTACTTTAAATAGATTTACTAAGTTGATATATTAATAAAATATCTGATATATATTAATTACAAATTAATTTATTTCAATATGATTAATTAATTATAAATATGCATTTTGAATCAATTTTTTTTATTTTTTTTTAAAAAAAAGGATAAATGTATTAATTAATTAAAAATGTATTAATTAAATAATTAATTCAACATTAAGTTATTTTATATTTTATATTATACTTATTTTTAAAATATTTTTTTAATATTACATTATTTATTATTATCTTATTACTATTAATTTTATCAATTTGATTTCAAAAAAACCATTAAATTAATTTTATTAATACATAAATTATATCTAATATCTAACATGAGTAATATTTAATGAGTAATATCTAATTATTAATTATTAAATATTTATATCTAATATATCTAATATCTAATATATCTAATATCTAATTATTAATTATTTAATCTATAAAAATTTATTTTTTCTTAATATTTTCAATTAATATATAAAATTAATATCTAAATATCTACAAAAAACGTTATTTAACGTTTCTATATCTATAATTATTAATCTTAAAAAACATTTTCTTAATATTTTCAAATATTTTTTTAAACTTACAATTTATTGGGTTACATAATAATATTAGATAATAATCATATTAATCATAATCATAATATAATAATAAATTTTTTTTTGTCATTTTTTTCTTTCACAATATTTTATCATAAAATAATAATCCATTACATCCAAAAAAGTATTTATTTAAACTTTATTTGAATTTTATTTGTACAATTTATTAATTTTTTTTTTTTTTTAAATCGTAACACATTAGGAATCGTGTAAGAAAACATAATGCGAGAATTAATAATTTGTTTTTTTTTTATGCAAAAAAAAATTACAAAAAAAAAATTATTAAGCTTAAATATAAAAAATAAATATAAAATAAATAAAAATGAAAATAAAATGAAAATAAAATAAAATAATAAAATAAATAAAATGAAAAAAAAATGAAAAAAAAATAAAATAAAATAAAATAAAATAAAATAAATAAATAAAATGAATAAAATGAAAAATAAAATAAAATAAAATAAAATAAAATAAAATAAAATAAAATACAAATAAAATAATGTAAAAAAATAAAATGACATGATAAAACGATATAATTTTTTTTTTTTCGGTATAAAAAAAAAAAATTAATCGATAACATTTTTTATTTTCATTTCTATATTAGTATTCTAAAAATGTAATCTTGAATAAGATATGAATTTTAAGGGGGTTTGGAAGTTAATCTATTTATTATTATAATCAATATATATCAATATATGTAAATGAATTCGGAATTTCTTTTTCTTATATTAGATATAAAAAGTAATCGAAAACTTTAGAAAAAAAAAATATTTACTTTATTTATTAAAGAAAATCATGACCAAAATCAGATAAAAAAAAATAAGCCATTTCATTTCCCGTTCTTTACCAACAAATACAATAATACCAACAAGGTACACAAAGGGAATAACTTGAAAAATTCAAAAAAAAAAAAATTAAAAATAAAAATAAAAAAAAAAAATAAAAAAATAAAACATCGGAGAAGCCAAGGATTTTATTGTCCATTGTTAAAATAATAAGTTACTTTGGTTACAAAGATAGATCTTGTGCTGGCAAGATTCAAACTAGCGCAAAAAAATATATAACTTGCGGTTAAGGGACTAATGTCAAGTTAAATAAATTTGTAACAGAGTACAAAGCATTGTTGAAAGTTTTTTATTCATGAAAATGAGAAAAGGGTTCAACAGGGTTTTTTGATGCTTGGTGTAAAGATGTTTTGGGATGACCGGATGTACAGTAGTAAAAAAGAAAATTAATTAAAAAAGCATGGATGGAGATTACAAATTACAAAAACCAACAAAAGATTAAAAATTTTTTCTTTTTTACAAAACAAATCACAAAAAGATGATCAATTTATTATATGGAAATATTAATTTATTTTTTTAATTTGATGATTTTTTCCGTGGAGAAAGGTAAATATTGTACTCTCCCTCGTTTTTAATAAATATCTCTATATTAATCTATTTAAAATAATTTACATACGAACAAATACGAAATAAATAAGAAATAAATAAACCCAAAAATAAGCAAAAGTAATAATTTTATTGGATAATGTAACATAAACAATAAACCAAAATGAGAGAAAGCCGTAATTATGGAGAAAGATTCCGCAAAAAAAAAAATGATAAAGTTTGATTAGGTTAGAAGGAATTCTAAATAGAGTAAAAACTTGTGAACACAAGTTTTTGCGCGATCATTGGTATTATAAAAAGAATATCATTTAAATTGATAATCTTTTTTTGTAAATATATAAATATATATATATATTTATATTTATAAAGTAAATTAAAAAAGATTACACTATCAATTATGTACGCAGTGCGCCCACACGGCGCTGCACAAAGCATTTGTCTGGAATCATGAACAAGTAACTTACCTATAATCGTACCATAACACTACCGCATGGTTGTCCGACAATTTCCTATTTTGGTTCCTATCAAATCATCTAAAAGTAATAAATCTGCAAAAAAAAAAAAAAAAAAAA